AGATTTGAAAGTTCCGAGTTTGGTTCTCGAGAAATAATCTTAATCTTGGTTCAAGCGTTGCACTTCTTATCGCTAACATTTCACATAATAAAGTTTTTGTAAGATCTTCTTCTTCTTATAATTGAAATTCCTTTGGAATTCCTTTGAGCTTTGTCGAGGAAGAAAAGTTTTGCACTTATTATTTGTTATTAAAATCGAGACATTCCTGAAATTATTGCTTTTCAATGTTTTTGGTTTCTTTTTATTGTTGTTAAGCTTTATAACTTCAATTTTAATGATTCTATGAATTTTTTATAATTCTAGAAATCTTACAAATAAGATGCCTCGCCTTTGTCTTGAATCAAAATACTTGTCAATCTAAATTAATTACTAAATACAATCTTGAGTTCTTGATTCTGATTTACAAAAGAATAGTTGATAAAATTTCTAACATCGCATGTTATTATCGCGTTAATTCCACTCGTTCAAAAAGCTTAACACATTGCCTTTATATCTTTGGCCAACCCATTTCAACATAGATTTTATTGCATCAAAGTTTAATCAAGGATTGAGATTTTGATCTACCTAATGGAAAATTCCCCTTTTCAAGATTTAATTCGAATAAAATAGGCCACGTTTTCTTTTTAATTTAATTAATATCGCAAATTGAATCGAAAATAGTTTAATGTAACACGTAGTACGGAATTATTCTATACTTATATTATTTCAACTCAAATTTCATCTACATTCCAGAATCCAAACTTCAGAACTCTATTCACGTATGTATTTCCACTCAAAATGTATTATTCAATCCTGTTACTTTTAAAATCTTAAATTTCACACCTCAACATATTTCTCGGATTATATGAACATATATTACAAATTATTAAAAATCCCATGTATTCTTAAAAATTTTCATTTTATTAACTATTGTATTATTATGTTATATTAAATAAAATATATTTCTTCATTTGTAACTCATTATTTGCTATTAATTATTATTGAATATTCGCAAATTGACTTTCTAATCTTATTATTAATTTCTAAAAAATTTCGAATCTCAACTTCCACATTATCATTATCCGAATAATTTATTGAATATTTAAACAGATTAATTCATTAATCGAATCGATAATTAATCAACAGTAACGTCAACTAGACATAACAAAATTCTAAGTTGCATACGGCTCTGACTGGATAAATTATTCGATATCGAGTCACGTAAGGTTTTCGAAACTTCGAAATTGGATCGACTATATAAACCACGTTTATCTCGACCGCAAAAATATATACAAAGTTGCACAATAACGCTCTCGATGTGGCCATTAACCATGGAGAATAGCTGTACCCTCTCGGTATCATGAAACATACAGAGGTTGCAACCATGGTGCATGCATGCCACGAGAATATATATCTATGACCGTGTTAAAATCACGAATCTATAAGACATCATCGAGTATACTTTTATCAGCAAAATGCACGTTTTTACCGGTAAGATGCATCGTAATGTTGACCTATTAACTTTTCTCTTATCAAAAACTATGTTATTCAATTCTATCGATTTTCATTGATTTTCAATAATTTTATGGATTTAATAATTAAAAATTATTACAAAGCGGATTGATGATCCTTTTCATCTTTATTTTTTTTTTTCGATGCACTGTTTTCACGTGAAATTATTTTTTTAGAATAAGGAATTAAAAAATTTATAGGATATCGAGGAAACTCTACCAGAGTTAATTACATTTTAGAGTTCGTCGCGATTAACAGTGAGAGATTCAATTAGTAAGTAATTAGGATCTAACAAAAATCGAACCAAAGATTAAATATGATTCATCCAAACGTTATAGTTGAGAGGTGATCGAGATTTAATTGAAGCCCAACAGTGAGAAGCAATCAACAGTGAGCAAATTGTTACAATGACCAAAATCGAGTTTTATGTTAATTTCGTTTATTTTTATTCTAAAGATAAAATTGCTTAAAAGTATCTCTTGAAAAATATTCTAAAATATTCTTTAATATTCTAAGAAAAATATCTCTTTTATTATTCCTTGTTGAATTTTAATGAATAAGATAATTATATATTTAAATAATAATAACAAAATTCTTGTAAAGAATAGGAAGATTTATAAAGGCCGAGTGTCAATATTCCATTTATTATGAAATTAATAGGATTAATTTTGAGTAATTTTCACATATCTTTGAAAGTTGTTCTTAAAAAGTGATAAAGCCAATTTACTTTTAATTACAGATTGCATTTATGCAATATCGTATTTTTAGAGGTTCTAAAATAGAAGAATAAAAGGAAAAGATAAAACTGAAGCTTAATGATGATAAGAAGCTACATGCAACAAACTTTCGATCTACAAACGATATAGAATTAACTCTTGTCTATGATCTGAATAACCCATTTTAAATTCAATGAACCCTGACGAGAAATAAATAGACATTAAACCTTTCTAGATACATCAATTTAAATAAAAATCGAATTATTTAAGTTAAAAATTATTCTATTAAAATAAATTAATTAATTACAATTTCTGCTTATTTCTTTTTTTCAAAAATATTATTTTTAAAATATCCTCGACAAAATATATCTCTGTTCCTTGTTTGAAAACAAAAATTTATCCTGGATTTCGATATTCATACCTACACACTTCATCTTTTTTTCTTCGAACATTTTGAAGAAGATCCCAATATTTTTACGTATAAATGTACAATACGCCGTGAAAATGAAACATCGGTCATAAAATCGAACATAATGTTACGTATTTAATTTAACAACCATAACTTGTAAAGTTTCCTTTCATTGAGATAGATCGCAAACTATGTCTCAAGCGTGAAATTGTAACTTAGAGAAGTTCTCAACTAAACGTCGATGTTAATATAAATATATATATTAAGAAGTATACAAATTTTATCGTTATCGTTACTTATTTCATCTTAAAACTTAATTCTCGTCTTTTATAATAATATAAAATGATTCGTTTCACGAAGAGATTAATTAAAATTCAATTACTCCGCAATCTTGATCGAAGAAAGTTTAAGAAACAAAGAGAGAAACAAAGAAAATAAATTTAAAGTTGCATAAATTTATCAAATTGATAAGAAATATCAATTTTGCCGCGTAATTTACGAATAAGAAAAGTTAAATCGAAACACGATACTCGCAGCTGAGAAGATAATACATAATAGCCAATTGTCTTTAAAAGGAAGAAAGTTTGGTGAATGATTGAAGAAAACGTGGACTTAATCGAGAAGACCCTTTGAATTTTGTATTTGAAACTGTGTACAGAAATGTGCGCAACGTCAGAGAAACTTTCTTCATTACTTTTTCTCTGGTTACTCGTTTCAAGGTTCACGAAACACCCAAAGGCAGTATATTTCACGCAACGATAACTTTATCCTTTTTGCATTCACCGAGATTTTTCTTTGTTTCATTCAAATGTCAATCGTTTAAATATATATAAAGAAAGATAATTTTTCGAAACTTCGATTCGGAAAATAAAATTCAAGAATTGAAATCGAGCAGAATCTTTTCCAATTTTCTTAATTTTATTTCAAATTCTCGCATTTTTTTATATATAGCAAGTAGGTTCATAAATGAATTTTAAAGAAGTTTAAAATTCTGCAATCGAATGTTCTAGAATTAAAAAAAATAACAAAATCTTTTTCAATTTGCTTAATTTCAAAGAATTTTCGTCTATATATCAATCAAATTTTTTATTCTTGATATATAAATTTATAATTTATAATAGACATCAGCAATTGTAGAATAAAAGGAATACAAATTTTTTACTGCTGATGTATCTATATAGTTTGCAAAACGAGAAAAATTGGAAGAAAAGTTAAATTATGAAATTTCTCATTCTTTTTTTGAACTTCAATCTTTAGACAAATAAATAGTAAGAAAATTTCCATTCTTTTTATCATACTCTAATAAGTCTCTTATTAATATGAATAACTCAAAGATAAAAATATCTCAAGGAGAAACATAAGATTATTTTTACAGTCAGTTTACTATTCGTAAAATAGTTGCTATTTTAAAAACTTTTTAATTATTCTTATTCACTCGAGCATCAATAAAAATCGATCTCAAATAACAAACAAGATTGCAAATCTCTACATTCAAGCGTTCTGATCAATCCAAACGGAAGTTGACGGAGTTGATCGTTTGACAAATTTATCGAGTTAAGACATCATCGTATACCTAAACAGCAGTGTGTTAACAACATGGCAAAGCGTTACAAGTGAAAATGTAGCGATGCAAGAATTCACCCTAGTCGCATGAAGTTGACAAATGAATCGTTTTGTAATAAAACGATCTCGAAATACAGCTTTGCCAGCTCGAAGTTGCAAAAATAAAAGAACCACGAGTATATAGGTATCGAAGCGCGCGCTGTTTAAAATTCGCATGCACGAAACGTAATTTGCGTGACCGGAGAAAAGAGACGATAAAAATTTAAGGGAACACGGATCAATTCATAATTTTACTTCTTTTATCGATTCATATTTCAAGATTATAAAAATTCATTTCGTATTCTGGGAAATTTGTTATTCTAAAATTAAAAATATCATCTATTGAATATTTTATAAGATTAATATAAATAGAAAATGTGAAAAGGATTTTATGAAATCAATTACTGCAAATTTGCCTGCATTGATGTTGTTTCGATTGAATAATGTATGTTCAATACAATTCACGAAATATGATTTTTATCATTATCATTCTTTTTATAAAAATGGTGAACAAATCTCTTCCATCAAGCATATAGCATAGAAAGCGAATTACAAATAATGATCCCTTTTCCAATTAATTTGTTTCCAATAATGATATTAAAAATTTCATGTTAAATTTTAATTTAGAAATGAATAAATCTTTTTTTATTTTTGAATTTTTTCCAAATGGAAGTAAATATTTATTCTCGTTCTTCTGACTTTTAGATATAGAATAACTCCGGAAGTGTCAGGGTTGATCAGTTCGCAGAGATTCAATTTAAATAATAAAACAGGGTACTCACCAAGGACACGACAATCAGCTGATGAAGCGTGCACAAAAACTGAAGTTTATAATCATTCACCGCGCTTTACTCACGATACGATTAATTGAACGGATTTAATCGATCCATAATCGTTCAATTCTCACCGATCGAAACTTTTTAAATAATTTGAAAAAACTAATAAATGTTTTTATAATATATTTTCATTGGTATATCATTAATTTCACTTTAATCATAAATTTTTTTGTTTATTTACTTTTCTCTTATTTACTCGCCGAGAAATTAAAAATTAAAAATTAAGAATTAAGAATTAAGAAAAGAAATTAAGAATTAAAAATTTAACCTCAAAAGAATGCAAGTATATGATCAATTTGCTTCAAAAATATATATTATGCAGCAGAAGTGCAGAATCTTATTGTCTATATTACATCGATTTCTCCTGTTGTAAAAAACGAAAAAGTTTAATTTCTAATTATATATACATTATGATGCATTTTATTGAAAATATATTCTATCTAACGAAAGAATCATTTACGATGTAACAATTTGGAAAAAGAATTAAAACTTTTATCAAATAAAACTTTTTCGCTCGATAATTGTGCCAGAAAAAATTTCACGCTAAATTCTTTTAATTTAATTTTATACAAAATATGATGTAAATCGTTTAATTTGTTTTCTACAAAAATATTTTTTATAAATATAGTTACAAGTTCGATAAATAAAAATATAATCATGGCAAGCAAGATTCAATCTCTTATAGAATAGATTTCGTTGTACTCAAGCATTTCCGGTTTAGCAGGATGAAAGCCACATTGATAAAGAAGTAGAATACTTGCCGGCTAAAGAACAATTAAGCTACGAAATCTTATGGACGATAGTAATCATTCTGATTAAAATTTTGCTTATACAAGATTTGTTTTTGTATAAAAAGAACAAATATTTTCTAGACTAAACTTTCGTTAAAAAAATATATTGTAATTATTATTTAAAAGTGTTGATCAAAAATAATTTATTATATGATTTTACAAAAATTTAATTATAAATGACATTATATAGATGAACAACTGTTACATCTTTGAATACATCGATCTAACCTCACTAAGAAAATTAATCAATGGAAATCTATTTCTATTGTATAAGAATTTTTTAATATCGAATGTCATCTTATTTAAATATTCAAATTTAAAAAAGTTTTGATAATAAATTTTGTGAAATAAAAAGACATCTAATTCAACTATGTTGATACGATATTTGGATATTCAATATTTGAAAATATGACGCTTCGTAATTTCGATAATAAATTAATGACCAGAATATAGAGGTCGTTAAAAGAGAATTCATATATAAATGGCGTCGAAATCAAAATTTGTGTACCTACCAATATTCATATGTAGCAAATCTTCAGTTGCTTCGTATCAATATTATTTTTGTGGATAAATTACCATAATATTACAATGCAGCGTTATATAATAAAAGATTTTGTTAACAGACATCATTAAATTTGAAATAATAATTGGAATGTCTTTAAACTGTCATTTTTACTATAAATCATTTATGATCGTTATCGAATAATTTTGTATAAATTGCACGATTATTATTATTGTTTTATCATTATTATCGAATTATCGTTTTGGCACACGACGCTTCTATCATTTTTTTTGGTATTAGAATCAAACACACTGTCGAGTAATCACCAAAACTTTTTCGAACGAGAACTTTAAAAACTGCGAATCACGCGGCCACGCAACAGCAACTGAACGCTTCTTGTGATAGAAAACGTGACTCGAAGTGCGCGCGCAACCACTAGCGCACCACCAGCGCTAACAACGTTTCAACCCTTACCGCTTACCGCGCATACTCTACAAGGCGCTTAAATTCAAATTACCGCTAAATCTAAGACTAAATTTTAGCCTTCATATTATTTTTAAGTCATAATTAATTATCAATTCAATAGAAAATAAAATATTAGATGTTATAAAATGTAATAACATAAAAAGGGCAATTTTTTAATTTTCTATTAATAAACTCTTAATAAATTCTTTGAACCGAATTTGATTTTTCTTTTTAAAAAGTTATTTTTATTATTTAAAAATATTTATATCTTATATTTTTTTAAATAAAACATTTTTACTAAAATAATTTATAGATAATTGTTTTTTGAATATTTAGAAATGTTTGTGAATTATAAAAATATATATTAAAAAAAATGTTAATAATTTAATAAAAATAGTTTTAAATTTATAAAACGTATAACTTATCAGTAACATATACACTTAACAATAGATATATTATTAACAATAGATATATTTAACATTTTAAAATTATTGTACTGCCGAATTGCTAAAATCTTTTAAAAACTGGCATTAACCGAACAAGTGCATGAACATGAAAGTAATAATTTAATTACTATTATTGAGTCATTATCATTATTATCAAATCTGATATATTCCTCATTATGAGGAAAAATAAACTACTAATAATCACATAAACAATAATAATCTTTTCTATTTTTAATTGTACAAATAAATATTCCTTCAGAATGAATTTACATATATTATGAAATTATAATATTATGAAAATTGGATCGTGATAACAATAATCGCAATAAAATTGAAACCATTACTTAATAATGTTTTAAATATTAAACAAATAAAATTTAATATTTTTATTTTAATATATATAAGATATTGGAAAAATTTTCAAAAAACTATAAAATATAAAATGAACAAGAAAATGGAAATATAGAATGTAAAAGAACTTTCATAAGCATCGTTATTTTATTAACAATGTTACACGCACAATCATACATAAAACAACCTTGGCTATAGTTATTGAATGCTGCTCATTTTTAAAAACAAGCCTCGCTATATTGTTCTAAGTCGTTATCTGTATGCCATGTCCGTGTTGTATGCCAGTACATTATGTCGATTATACAAAATTAACAATATCACTTTGTAAATACAGGATAATTTAATTGACAAAAAGAAAAGAAAGAATAAGGAAAAGTAAAGGATCGGAAGGAAGGCAACGAAAGAAATCGGATAATATGTGATCATAAAATAGAAAAAAAAAAAAACAAAAATAATTACGAACATATCCCTCCCTCCATGTATAAAAATTACAAATTATATCCAAACCCGCTAGATCTTTAATTATATTTTTCATAAAAGTGTTTTCTTTCTCTTGTTTTCTTTTTTCTTTTTTAGTTTTTATAAGAAATAAATATCTATGTAGGAATTTACATGGTATTCTTTACTATTCAGTAGGACAATTCTGTACTAACAAATAAAACTTGTTCATAAAAAGGAAAAGGAAATTGATAAATATATCATTTATGCATCGATATTAAAGTTTTTTTTTTATGGTATCCTTTTTTTTATGGTAGATAAAGATTATTTTTTTCTTCTAAGGTTTTTGTTTCTTTCTCTCTCTTTCATTCATTTAAAAAATCGATCATATTGAAAAGATTAAGAGAAATAGTGATTTCCATTTTTTTTTATACAATTGTATTTTAATTTGCGAGCGTGTGTATGTAGATAAATCGATAAATATGGTGGTATGGGGGAGAGGAGTAGAAATTTGCGGCACAATGAAGATAAATACAACGAAAATATATTAATTCGCAAATTTTTTTTAAAAATGTTCCTTCCTATTTGCTGGAATTTTTTTTCTATTCATTCTTCATTTTTTTTTTTATATATTATTTTTTAAAACTTTTATAAAACGCAACAGCGTTTAAACGATAAAATTATAAGTAAATTATAAATAGTCACTTCGTATTTGCCTTAATAAATTTATTGTTTATTTCATACACGAGACGGATCCCATTGAAAAATGCTAATAAATTTTTTCTTTTTTCTTTCATTTTTTTATTCATCCGTCAACTTTGAAAATCGTTGAAAATCATTTTCTTCTTTTGCACAACTAAGAAGACCATTTCCGTAATGAGGAATACGAACGAGAAAAGAGAAACGAAATACATATATATATATATATATATATTGCAATTTATAAAAAGAAAATATTATTTATTTAATCGAATCGAAAAGCTTCTCTTCTTCTTTTCTCGTTCCTAGATTGGTCCACAAAGATGTGCTTCCCCATAATTGAAAAAGATGGGAAGTCTATTTTTCTCTCTCTATTATATTTTGTCTCATTATGCATCACAATATTTCTTTCATTATGCTTTCGCCTCGCTGTTTGATAACCGGATCGCTGACTAATTTTTTTTTTTTTTTTTTGCTCGATATTATCGTCCCCTCCCCTTAAATAAGAGAATATCAGTAGTAGTAAAGGTACGATAAATCGACGCGTTTTTATTTTTTTTTTTTTATCTTTTATTTTTTGAAGCAGTTAATCAAGTCGATTAATTTTTTTAAAGCAAACTAATCGCGTCGATTAACGATTTCAATCGATGAATCGATTTAATCTCAACGCTCTCGAGGATTTTCTTGGTATTCGCAATACGAAAACTTAAAGCAAAATTGAGAATAATCAACGAGGCGTTTCGATTATGATCAACGGTTCAGAAACACTGTTCATCTTATTTTAAGGGTACATATACCATTGTAAAATTTGAAGAATCTTACTGTGTTACTTTTTTTGATCAAAATATTATATAATATTATATATATTTTTCAATAAAGCAAAAGTAAACAGCAAATCACAATAAAAATAAAAAAAAAATAAAAAAAATAAAAAAAAAAAGAAAAGAAAAATATAAAAAAATTAAGTTTCTTCTGAAACAGGATGAACCAAAAGATCGTATCATTGTCAATTTGAATCATTTCTAATAAAAAAAAAATTATATAAAATTTCTCGTTAAAAGAGAAGATTATTTTTCCAATAAATGTTCAACAGATTATTTTCTTCTAATTTTACACATGCGTTGATATGTTCCCTTACAATTGGCGAGTTTCAACAACTTTTTGTCGACGCCTTTCAGCGATAAAACGCCGTTTGGTATCGTATCCGTTTTGCCATTCGCAACGAATTCATTTTGATTGGCACAAAAAACTACTTACACGTAGAAGATAAACGTGAAACTAGTCGAACTCTCAACATGCAAAATAGCATTCTATAATTATTAAAAAAAAAAAAAAAAATTCGAAAATATTCTATGCAAAACGGAATCGATCGTCGAAACAAAATATACGATGAATTTTCTAATTCCATAAAATCTAAAAAAATAAATATAATTACAGAAAACAATTAGCATCACCCGTAATAGCAATTAAGCGTTTTGTATCATGATCGAACACAATTGTTATAATTGCTCGAAAAGAATTTAGTTAAATTCAATGATCATGATCCACAAATCAAATCGCTCTGTTCTATTCTTTCTACAACGCTTTCCTCGTTTTTCTCTCTTTTTATCGTATTTTTGTATCATTAAAGAAATAATTGATTGCAATATCAACCTAGCAATGTACTTCCGTTTATACGCATACACATTCTATACTTTGCATGTAAGTAATGCCTATTTTCCAAATGTATGAAATATGCTCCAACCAAGAAATCATGTCGCGATTTTTTGAAACATCACACCTTAGGGTAGTTTCATTAATTTCCTTTATCTCCTCCTAATACTCGTGTTGAGGCACATTTATCGTTTTGCTCATTCACTCGCTTTCTCTAGTTTCTCTTTCGCTCTCTCTCTCCCATTCAGCATCACGCATTTCCATGTTACCCTGGCCCACGAATTATACTTACAGAAAATGAACTCTTTTTTGTACTATCGATATATGTATGTCAGATGCGGGGCAAGATATCGTAGTTATGCGCGATTATCCATCAGCTTGTTATTGCACCACTATATCGAGTCGATGATTTAATATAGTATGCATACACCATTTCATACGTGAAATTTTTACACGTAAAATTTCACATTTTATTTGCATGTTACGTTCGCTTTCGATCCTATTAGAATACTCGATTGTTCGAAAAGTAACAATAATAATATCAGTACAAGTTAAATGAACATTTTAACTTTCAGACTTATTCAAGCTTATAGACAAATTTCCAGATATATATTCATAGATAATAAAGATGATATAACAATTCGTTAATAATGATTGCAATATATGCAGATATTATGTTACTATGTATACAAATTACAATGTATATTTTATACAAACTACTGAAGAGATATTCTCATATAAGAATATATATCTGTAAACAACGCCCAGAAGTCCAAACAAGTTGTTTTTCAATGCGAAAAAGAAAACAATATGAATAAGTTCGTTTTCTAGATTTTCAAATAATAAAAATAGATAAAATACATATCTATGTAATACTATTAGACTATTAATGATTTATGAAGGGAGCGAGAATAAAAAAATCATCGCTGGACGAAATTGCGTATGCACACACAGATTTCTCTTAGGCGGAAATATTAATTAAACGCAAGATTCGACGAAAAATTCGTAGTGTTCGTCGATTGACTTTACAACGAATATTTTCTCGTACTTATTTTCTCGATCGTCACGGAAAAATTACATTTTTTTCGTAATTATGTCATTCATAAACAGGATGATGATCCATGATTAAAAATTGCATTATTATGCAATGTATCTTTTCTTTCTATACTTCATTTCACTTTTTTTTTTCCATCTTACCTTAACTTTTTTTCTTTTCCATTTTTTTTTTTTTTTCAATTCATGATCCTCTTGACGCTATATACGTCCATACGCAATATTATTCTTCTCTTCATTTAGTATAAATGTCTTATTCGGTGACGTTAACGCACATTAGCAATTCAAAAATTTAATACACACGAGTATATATATAGTTTTGTTTAATACGAGATGCGTACTTAATGAGGATTTCTCTTAACGATTAACCTTACGCGTATTAATATGATGCTTATGAGTTTATGAGCTACCATACTAAAGAAAAAACATACACCACTGAAAGATTATATCGTTACTTTATCGCGATCATCCTCGGATATATTCGGATCGCCGAAAGCTACGTTTGCACTGTGCATACGTTTGATAGAGATACGATGTTCAAATTAAGCGAATTATTCGAAAGACTAAAAATTTTGTTTACTTTACTATTTAATTTTCAAACATCTCACATTTTTTTGTTTTCTTCTACAAAGGAATTGTTTTTATATATAATCGCATTGCAATGAACATCGTTACACCGTCATCTCATATATAAATAGTGAAGCACATTAAAAACATAGCAATAAGCTAAGTAATATGCAAATATTGGAAAACCTCCACTAATTCTATGCAAAGTATAGCTTGTAGGATACCATTCATTAAAAACTAAGACTTATCATTATTATAATCATAATTTTGCTTTTTTTCTTTTTCTCTTCCTTCTATTTCATAAATTTCTTTTTTCATATGGATTTTTACGTGGAACATGATTATGAATTCTGCTCCACTAACTAGCAAATTTGCTTTCACTAATCAATCTCGACGAAAACAAATTTGTCCAGAATCATTTTCGCAAATACTATATTTATAGAAATGAAACTATTCTTATCGATAGTCATAATTTATGTACAATTTAACAAACTGGTTGCAATTGCCTCTTTTTTCTTCTTTCTTCTCTCTCTCTCTCTCTCTCTCTCGCTCGCTCGCTCGCTCGCTTGCTCGTTCGCTCGTTCGCTCACTCGTTCATTCGTTCTCTCAAATTCAATGATATTAGATAAATTACGTCATAAAATTATAATCGAGCTCAACTCACTATGCCCTGCCGTGTCACATTGAATGATAGAAACAAGTCAAAATGATTTTTTTCTCTTATCACTTCGTAATGTTTTTTTTTTTGTATGTATATATATATATATATATATATGCGTGTGTAAAATCATTTCAGGCAGAATTTTTTCGAATGATTATTAATGACGATCATTAACCGTGTATCTATATATATATATTTTTGCCAAAATACCAGTTATCATTTACATACACACATCAATTCGTATAGACTGGTTAAAATTTATTTCAAAATGGATCAAAAATTGAAATAATTTTTACCAAATCTCCTCCATGTAACATATCGACTAAGTAGATTGGCAAATTAGTTCCTAATTTTCGCAACAATACATAAGATACACGTGAATATTTTATTTTTATTGAAAAATTATTATATTCCATGACTTTATGTCTTTATCATTTGATTTAAATTTATTTTTCATTTTATTCTTCTTATATTTATGACAAATTTTCATTCGAAAATATATATATGTATATATAAAAAAATCATTTTTACTTGTTGAATCTTGGTGGCCTCCTCAATCGTGGTATTAATTCTGCTCTGACTGTTCTAGCGTAATTTGGAGCAGCATATTGATCTGTTACAGCAATAGGACTCTGTAAACTTTGTATAAACATCGAGTCCTGTAGTTGTCCTACACTTGCTGCTTGGTATTGATATTGACTATTGGCTATATCCGCCGTTGGATAATGATTCGGTTGCACGAATTGAGGAGGATTATCGTATTGTGGATATGGAATGGAACTTTCTGCGGAAAATTGAGGAATTACAGGGTTCACATTCACTGGTGTAGTTGCAAAACTACCAGGATCATATGTCTGATACTGATTTAGCTGTCCAATTTGTGTTGTATTAAATGGAGGTGATTGAGGAAACTGAGAAGTATCAGGAAATAGCATACTTGTAACAGTTGGTTGGGGAAAACTTTCCGGTCTAGGATAAGGTGATATATTCGCCGTAACATTACTTAAATTTTGAACATTGGGAATACCAGCGATCTGTGACGTGCCATAGCTATGAAAGGTTTGCCTACTGTGATCAAGATCTTTCACACCACTTTGCAAAGAACTCACCATATTCAATTTCGATTTAGAGTTTGGACCATCGATATCATTATGTTTAGTTCTTGCTTCTGTGACAAAAGGATGACGAACATTGACGATACTCTGTGGAGCACGTAAAGGTGGAAAATTAATCGGTGTCGTCTTCGATGTCGAATTTTGTTGCTCCAATGCTTTTCTAGCTATGGCAAACGCAGTGTTATCATTCCGTGATGCTGGTCGAGATTGATGTGTATTGGAAGAAGTTCTATGGTTATCTCTATGTAATGCTTGAACAGATTGATTTACGAATCTCGATGATAAGTTGTTTATATTCGCACTATTTCTTGCCTTGTAATCTTGATTGCTTACAGGTGATTCTTTGTATTCTGATTGTATTTGATAATTTTTCATTTTTGAATCAATTTCATTGGAAAATTTTTTTGTAGAATAATCTTTTGATTTAGATGTACTCTCGTGAGAAACATTACTACCAACACAAGTTGTATTAACACCTCTTACAGTATTGAAAGTAGAATTAGATTGATTTGTGGTTACAAGTGACGTATTCTTTGTTAATTGTTCATTAGATTTTAAATTCTCGTTATTTCCACTGTTCTTTTTTATAGATGAATTCATCCTATTTGAAGAAACTGTAACAGTTGATGTTGATGTAGTGATTGTACTTAATGTAGTATCTTTATTCCCCATCGTAGTATTTACTGTTCTGATAGATGGTTTTGATAATCTACTTTTGTTCCCCATGTGATCAAGTTTTTGATTGCTTTTACCCTTATCTGATACTTGATTGTTTGATAAAATTTTTGAATCTGTATTATTATTTTGGTTTTTGGACAGCAAATTATTATGAGATTTACAGGTAATAGTGACAGCTGGCAGGAGCAAAGCGCTGGCTCACTTTTTGGTCATGATTTTGAGATATTCCAAAGCGTTTTGAGCAGCACTAGCTTGAGCATCTTTACTAGTAACACCACAACCATAGCAAACTGCCACTGGCAGAGTAGACAGCTGCACAAGGCACTGGCATTTACCTATAACACATAAACATAAAATTGAAACATTCATCAATAATTGAAAAATTCAATCAATATTTGATTTCTATGTAACATTATTTTTAAGAATTGAACAACTATTTTCTTATAATATTTCAAAATCGTATCAATTAAATAAATAATTAATTAGTAATAACTAATCAAAAAATCAATAAAAATATTTCCAAAAGATTTTTAAATATTTAACATCATAAAACTATTATATAAAAATAATATATTATACTTAAAAAAATATAAATTTAAATAACAAATTATTTAAAGATAATATTTAATATAAATTAAATGAAAAATTAATGTAAAATATGATAAGTTATGATAATCATGTCATAGGTCATGTATGTGTTATATAAGATCTTTTTTCTTTGCAAAGGATATATACAGCAGATAAATATAGAATCATGACTGGAATAAAATCTGCCAAATTTGCTTTACGTAAAAAAATGAAAAATATTATTGCACAACTTAGTACTGAAGAAAAAGAAAGACAATCAATGAAAGTATTTAAAAAAGTAAGTATATTAGAGAAATAATTAATTTATATATAATATATGCAAGAGGTTATGTTTACTTTTATTTAAAGTTGTTCCTAACAAATATATTTCTATATCTATAGCTATGTTCTCTATCACAATTTCAAAACAGTAAAAGAATTTCCTTATATCTAAGTACAAAAAATGAAATTGATACAATTCCAATATTAAAACATATATTCGAAACAAAAAAGGAAGTATTTATTCCTAGATATAATGGAAAAGAAATGGAAATGGTTAAATTATTTTCAATGGAAGATTATGAAACTTTACCATTAACTAAATGGAATATTAAACAACCAAATTATAATGAAAATAGAGAAAATGCATTGGAAACAGGTAAGATTTAAAATTAATTTATAGAATTATAAATGTACATTATAATTCTATAAATTATTATAATAGTCTTACTTTTCTTAATTATAAATGTAATAATCTTACATTAGTGTTATTATTAATAATATTTGTATATATGAATCTTTCTATTATAATTAATGAAATATAAAATTAATTTATAAAATTTATGATATTTTAGGTGGATTAGATTTAATACTTTTACCAGGTCTTGCATTTACTACTAATGGTAAGTAAAATCTATTTTATATAAATTCTTCTAGAAAAAAAAACTTATATTATTATATAAATTATAATAATATATATTATCAATCAGGGAAACGGTTGGGACATGGAATGGGTTATTATGACAAATTTTTGGAATTATGTTTAAAGAAACAACAAAACAAACCACATTTAATTGCAGTGGCATTTAATGAACAAATATGGGAAGATATTCCTACATCTGAAAATGACATTGTTTTGGATCTTGTACTTACAGAAAAATAAATATATTTATATAACATATATTTAAAAAAAATTTGTTATCTATTTGTTTCTATTATTTGTCATCATATTATATGTAATTTTATTTTCAATAAATTAAATATAAAAATGTATTAAATAAAATTTATAATATAAAAAATTAATCACTTACCACTGATAGACTTTTCTTCAATATCAACATAAGTTACTTCAAATTGCTGCTCTGAAGCAATTTCTTGCAAAAACTGTACCAAATTTACATCACCATCATTCAAACATGTGTTCTGTAACAGAAAAAATCATATAACAAATTTAATAAAATTAAAAATTTAATCAAAAAATTTATAGTTTCTTATAATTAAAAATTTAAAAACAATTAGTAGTGCTTCAATTCATTACACTACAAACCTGTAATTCAAAAAGTTTAACACCAGTGGATGACTTCAAACTTTTATGAAATTGTGAAACCTTAAGGCTATGAATAGTAGTCAGTGTTGAAATTTTGCTACCTTTCAAATCAGCATAACGGGCACTCACATTTGCATTTCTTTGTAAAACCTATAACGGACAATTAATATATGTAAAATTTTAATTACATGCTTATCATTGGAAGAAATTTACCAATGACTGCACTTACATTAAGAGTAGAATGAAGTGGAAATGATCCAAGCGTGTTATTGTTGAAAATATATGCTGTTGTGTTAATGATTTATAATACAAATACACATATGAATTGCACATAATTGAGATCTTAACATAAATTATCCGTTATAGATTTAGGGTGATCAGAAAGGTAGCTTATATTTCATAATACTGCTTACAGTAGCAAATCACTTCCACTTCACTAAACATACACACACATACACATAAAAATAATTCACATACATGTTATACATACAGTACACAATTTATATAAAACAATATGTTAACACTATATGTAACTAAATACAAAAAAACATATAACTAAATATAAAAAAAATGATATTTGATTTTAAATGATTTAAGTACATAATTTATTAAATTAAATATAAATAAACAAAATAATCTTACCTCATCTTCATCTATATTAGGATTTTCTGTAGTCATATAATGTAAAGCTTGCCACATTTTATGAGCTGCATGTCTTTTTGCAACTTTTTTACTTTTTCCTTGACCAACTTCTCGATATTTTAAAACAGAACAAACAATTGTGAATTGTCTTTCATGTGGCAAACCCTCTTCATTTTCTATTGTATATTTTGGTGGAGGCCAATGACGTGACATACACATTTCTTGTAATGCTCCAATTGGATTTGTGATTATTTTTTCTTCTCCATATCCAGATAATTCTTGCAAATTCTCAGAACTATATAAAGTTAATTATTAAATAAATTAAGTGAAATATATAAACTATAATATATAAAAAATATATATTGTTATTAATTATTACTCCGGTATACTATTTGGAAGTGGAGAATCTGGTGATTCACTATTTAATCTACACAATTTATCCAATACAGCTCTTGCAGCAGCATGTTTTGCTTCTTTCTTTGATTTTCCAGTCCCCATTGCTGAAACAATTGGATCTGCTTCAATCATCAGATACTTATCATCAGATATTTATCACTTTCATTTAATAAAATACATATTTAATTTTATAAAAAAAATAAGTCCAAATAAAAAAATCTATAATTCTTTAATCCCTTAATGAATAAAAAATTTCATAAATTAATTCATTTAAAAACTAAATTGCATTATTAAAATTAGATACAAACCAACAACATCAGCAACAGTAACACGGTAACGAAAAATAGGCTCATGGATAGCACCCTCTACTTGTATTAACTCATACTTTGGTGTTGTGCCCCTACGAGAAAGCAATTCCTGAAGAATAGAAACTGGTGTTTTGTTAGACAATGATTTCATCTCCAATTGAGCAGCCTCACTTATTGGACGTTTTCCTATCATCAAACTATGTAATGATGATCGAACTCTGTTACGCCGATTAACATTATTTGAATGGTTAGGAACCCCACCTACACTGGGCATCATATTAGGCCCAACTTGTTGTGGTTGATGAATTTCTTCCATTTCTACAGCCTAAAATTATAATAAACCTTCTAATAAATGTTTAATTTCAAAAATTTAATAAATGACAAAATTATGTGTTATTTATTTATAAAATAATATAGTTTATATAATATAATTATTAAATATAAAAGTATTGATTTGACTATATAATTTAATTTATATTTTCTTTTAACAATTGAATCTCTATTAAATTTTAAATCATAAATTTCATACAACTGAAATATTTCATAAATAAAGAAATTTTAATTAATAATAAAACTATCAAATGTCAAAAATTTTAAAAATTATCTTTATTTATCAATGTTCAAATCTGTAATGTTGTTTAAAAATATACGTGAAAAATATTTTTAATGAATAGATTTTCAATGATTTGTCAAATCATACTATTAATAAATATTTTATCAATTTACTTCTTATATATCTAATATATCATATAATAAGTAAAAAATAAAATAATTTATACTAACATGTGAATCCATAATATATTCAATAATAAAATCCTATAAATATTTTAGTAAAGTAGTTAATGAGGAACACAAGATCTATGCAGTATAAAACGGTAGGAAAACCGGCTGGCGGCCATGATTGTTATAAAATTCATTGATTAATTCTAGTATGTAAAGCTTAAAAAATTCAATAACGAAATACAAAGGTTAAGCTTTATTATAATTTCACCGAGAACCGAAAGTCCATGACGACTTTCATCACTGACAGGATTCTATTTAAAACGATGATAAAGAAGTGCATAGACCAACCGGTCACAGTATCGTCCGCTACACAAAATCAAAAAAGTCACTACCTTTACTCACAATTTTCAAACGTTCTATATATATATAAACTGGCTCCTTAACAGGCCAATTCCTATGCGAAAAGCGAATCCCGCTTTTTGTGACCGATCCAAGTCTCACAAAAAGCTTGATCCGTTTGACGACAGAAAAGTGGTTTACTGACTACCGGAGAATCTTCCTCGTTTCTGATTCTGCCGCAGTAAGCGATGTGAACAGTTTTTATAGACGCAAAGAGCACGCGCATCTTCCTGCGCAGGTGCATTACTGGCGGTTTTACAGAAACAAATGCTTGTTCTATATTTAAAATAAAAAAAATCTCTTTTATTTAAAATGTAAAAATATTAGAATATTTTTAAATTATTTTAATCTTAAAAGAAAATACAATGTATAATAATTATATTCTCATAACATAAATATGTTAAGCATAAAAAATTTTATTTTAATAAAAAGCTTATTAAATCCTTCATTTTCTAAATTTTCAAATGTTTTTTATATTCAATTTTTATTGTAATATAAATACATATAATTAAAAGATATATTAGTTTTATATATTTTAATACATTTTATTAATATTATGAATGAATTTTAATAAATAGACTAATAAATAGTTTAAGTCAAATTATAAATAATATACATTTCATAAATTTTTGTTATTTCATATTTTATAGCATTTTAATTTTAATGTTAGCATAATATAGTAATTTATAATTATATATGTTGTTTATATTTAAATTGGCGCCTTTCGGGAAATATATCGCCATTTTCAATTTTTATCTTCGTTTCTCCGGCAACACCGGATGTTAGTATGTTTCGCATTTGTATACCACCTGGAATCATCATTTCCGGCTGTTACCCGCTGAAACGGTCCAAAGATCGTACGCCATTTTTGCATACTGACGCCACAGCGCATTGTTCTGAACGTTTGATCAGTTTTTGCTACATTTATTCTATTTACTCATATTTAAAGTTCCATAATGAGTGACATTGAGGTAATTCTTTTAATTTTCTTTCTTAAATAATAATTTTATGTATAATTTTATATACTTCATCGTCATAACGACATGCGGCTAGTTACAGCCATTATCGATCCATCAACGTTTCGACTATGTTATAAATTTATATTATAATTTAATGCTCTTTTTCTTAATCTTAAATGTTTAATAATTCGAAAATTTATTAATATTGATATCATAATTTTTTTTTATTTTTGTACGATACATTTATTATTTAAAGATAATATTTTAAATATAGTTTAAAAAGGGTTAAGCTTTTGAATATAACAAAAATTTTATAAATTCTTTATTTGAAGTATATTTTAATATATAGTAGTAATGTAAATTTTTGTTTTATTCATATTTTATTATTTTAATTTGTATTTTTAAAAATAAAAAAATAGAATAATTTTTAAATAATTATAAAACATTTTATTTTTAGCGAAGTAGTAGTCGTAGTGCAAGTCCTAGAAGACCAAGAACAGCCGATGGTGGTTTAAGAGACTCGCGTTCACATTCAAGATCACGTAAATCACGAGAGCGTAAAGAATCGCACCGACCAGTAAAAGAATATTCAAGATCACGAAGCCGTTCAGTGTCAAGAGGAAGAAAGTCCTATCGTAGCAGCAAATATGCCAGTGCAGGTCATCGTGGTAGTAGTCGCAGTCGTAGTCGCAGCCGTAGTCGTTCTACTCACAGGTTTGCGCGATATTCCCGAAGCAGATCTCGATCATACTTCCGTTCTCGTTACTCTCGCGAATGTGATAGGACCATTTATCGTTCACACTCCCGCAGTCCAATGTCATCTAGACGACGTCATGTTGGAAACAGGGAAAATCCCTCTCCTTCCAGATGCTTAGGTGTATTTGGACTTTCTATTTTTACAACCGAACAGCAAGTACATCACATCTTTTCCAAATATGGTCCTGTTGAACGTATACAAGTTGTAATTGATGCAAAGGTAATTTAATATAGTATTTATATTATAATTATTATTTTAAAATATATGTACCATAATTAAAGAAAAATATAACATTAATATTATCCCTTGACAATTTTGCAAAGGGAATATAATAAATTATACCAGAGATTTAGAATGTTCATACATTAAGTTAATGTAAAACATTAAAGGGCTCTGGTCACATTTTATTTTATATAAATAAAATATTTTATATTTATATTATGTATTTTACTTAAAACACATTAACAATGAAAATATTTATATTTTAGACTGGACATTCTAAAGGATATTGTTTTGTATATTTTGAATCACTTGAAGATGCTAAAGTAGCAAAAGAACAGTGTGCAGGAATGGAAATTGATGGTCGAAGAATGAGGGTAGATTATTCAATTACGCAACGAGCTCATACACCAACACCAGGAATATATTTAGGAAAACCTACACATCTACATGATAGAGGATGGGATGGGCCTAGAAGAAGAGAGTAAGTTCATTTATTGATTATTGATAAATAGTTCATATAGTAATAATTTATTTAAAAAAGAACTTAAAAAAGACAAAATACAATTGTTTTTTTTTTCATAAAGCAGTAGTTATAGAGGAAGTTATCGACGTTCACCTAGCCCGTATTACAATCGCCGTCGCGGTCGTTATGACAGATCTCGATCACGCTCTTATTCACCACGTAAGTTTAATTTTTGTTTTATTATATAACCTAATATAAGCAATCTATATGAATAGGTATCTTTTAAAAATATTTACATAGTATATAATATATACAAATATATATTTTATTAATATCCTTTTAAAAAAATTATTATTAAATAAATTAACTAATTAATAAATATTAAATTAAATTTTAAAGAAATCAAATTGAATAAAATAAATAATTTTCATAGATACAATATAATACTTTTTTTTTTAATTCAAATTTATATAATTATTTACTTATAAGAAATTCTTGATTTAGATTCTTATTTTTATAGATTGCTTATATTTATTTTCAAGAAGAATGTTTAAGTAAAGTACAAATAAGTAGTTAAATTAGCAAGAATGGAAGACAGGAGCATCAAGGAATGCATCCAATAAATCGTACGGTAGTAACTAAGTGTAACCCGTAACATGGGTCAAACAATCATAGTTTTTGTTGCTTAATGAATTTCAGGTCGATATTAAGTGACACGAGTGTGATGCGAGAGGCCAGATGTTTGGGAGACCATTTATGTGACTTGACCCTTTGACCTCAAATTTCTTCTAACAATACTGTACCGGGTCAAAAAAAAATGCAAATGCTACATTCTTACTACTATTCTTACCTTACCTAGTTCTGCATCATATGCAATTAATTACAGCATTTAAATTACGATATTGTAAAATATCAATTAATGAAATAACCTAATATGCAAAGGAGTATAGTATATTCTTTGCATGAAAGAGTAAGGTTAGAATGGATAAAAACCTTATTTTCATAATGTTTCTATTATTTTCTGGATGAATTTTTATGAAGATAAGGTTTATTTATTGTAACGGTATAACACTGATATGTGAAGGTTGGAATATAATTATTTCCATTTTTCTTTGACTTTAATTATTTACTTAAAAATTATATTCCAGCCATTCGGATTTTAAATATCACTGAAATGTGATATAAATGTGGTATTCCTAAATGTTTATATGAAAAAGAAAAAAGAAAAAAAGTGGAAAGAACGAAACACATACAGAAAAGAACGAAACAAAACAAAAATAAAATTAAAAATAGAAGTATGTTCTCTAACCTGTTTGTTTGTTTATAAGGTTTTGAATCAAGAGGTATTGGATGATAGAGGGAAGTTTGAAGTTTCACTCTGAAAAAATGAAAGTTTTGAAAAGTTGAAGACAAGATATCTGAAGATGTTTGTCTTGCTCGAATTTCGAAGATCTGAAGGTTTTTCGCGCTTGTGACAAAGAATATGATCCGAATCACATTCCTTACCGGCTGAGAAGTCTCAAGCCTAGAAGAACTGCAAGCCTCAAGACAGTAAGAAATCGTTGATCATCAGGCCCCCGATCTGGACAAGCCAATGGTTGGGGGTGAAACTGGTCGAACGTTTCAGAAAATATTCAAGAAACATCGAAATCTTTTATGAGTAGGAAAGAGCGTAAGCTGCTCCAAGGTTTATACTGATCATATTCTTTATCAGTTGATTTGGTTAAATGATATATCCGTAATTAGGTGTTATAAAATAAATAAACATATATACCTTCGCCCTTATTCCCTCCACCATCCTAAAACCTCCTATGTATCCTTAAGGGTGATATCCTATTGTTTTCACTTTGTATAGGAATAAGCAGCGGAAATTCGAATTGAAACAACTAATAAACAATGGTTTTTTTTTTAATGCAAATTATTATTTACCTGACATTTATTATTTTAGAATTTACAGAAGATTATGTTAATGAATAATTTACAATCATTCATAACAATTTTTAGCAGAATTTTATAAAAAAATAGCATCACAATTGTAGATGTAAATTCATGACTAGGAAAATAAAAATTAAGCGCATATTAAAAAATTTTTATATAATTTAAAAAATATTATTTATAAAAGATTGATTAATAATGCTGTAAATACGTTATTGATATAAATTTAAATTTCACATTAATAGCAAAAATAATATGTGTAATTTATTTGATATTAATATAAATTATGCAAAAATGTTTATAAATATTTATTTTGATTTATTTTGAAAATTTAATGGTAAATTAAAAGATGCTATTATATCAATATAATTACATTTATAATTATTTTTTTGGAAAAACATTTGAACGTACATACCATTTATTCGTATGTTATATTTCAATATATTACTATATATCGAAAGTTCATCATATTATCAAAAGTAAACAAATAACAAAATATATTGAACTATATATATTGACTATCTAAATATTAATGTGAAAATTGATCATTATATAAAATGTTATTATCTATTACTGTTAGCATTTATTATACGATTGCTTATTTTCATTATTTTCATAGAACTATATTTATACATTTTTATCTTAAAAATAATTTGTTTTATTATATATTTATGTTTATATTGATATAATTCCATAAATAAATTAAATATATAGAAAAGCAAATATTAGTTGTTTATTTGATGTCTGATTATAAATTCGAATATGTGATTTAAATCCGTTAATTCAATTCAATAAAAGATATTAAAACATATCATGAAAACGTAACTTTTGCAAAAGTCATTGTACATTAAAAGCGCCTTAATAAAAATATCAAGTTATGTGTCTATGCTAAGAAAAGTACGATCTACGAAAAGAAAACATGAATCGTTTTGATATTAGTTTGTTATGGAAATTATGGTTAATCAGTATAATAACAGTGGATTGTAATGCTGCCGTACCAAAAGAACCATATCAGAATCAGATACCTACACAAGGATTGTATAATACTAGTGATGATGTCGTTATTTTAAATGTCACTAATTTTAAATCATCCATCTATGAAGATACAAAAAGTTGGTTAGTCGAATTTTATAATAGTTGGTGTGGTTATTGTCTTCGATTTGCACCAATCTGGAAAGATTTTGCTAATGATATTTATGGTGAGTAATTATTATAACATGATCAAAGTATTGAAGAAACATTATTATTATTACTTATTTTATTATTTTTTGATATTTTTTATTTAATTTGATTATTAACATAATATAAACATTTTTTATTATATATCGTTACTTTATTGCATGAAATTTTTATAAAAAAATATGTAAAATCATGAATTTAATTAATAAATAAATATGTATTTTTATACTTTTAAAAAATCTATAAGAAAAATCTTTAAATTTTTATATTATACGCGAGATTAAATATATTTTTTATTTCAATTTAATTTAATTTAATTTTTTTAGCATGGAGAGATATTGTAGTAGTTGCTGCTATAGATTGTGCAGATGATGATAATAATCCGATTTGTCGAGAATATGAGATTATGCATTATCCCATGCTTAAATATTTTTCTGTAAATGCACATTCACCATCATTAGGATTAGTAATGGAGAAATATAATAAGCTTAATGAACTCAGACATAGTTTAATAGATTTATTAGAAAGAGAACAACAAGAAGGAAGAGGCATTTCATGGCCTAATATAGCACCCTATAGGTATAATAATATCTTCTTTTTTATATTAATTTTTATATTAAATAATATGAATTAACTATTTATTTAATATTATAGAAATTATGAAACAACAAACATATGGAAAGCTATTCCAAACACAGTAAAATATTTCTTTTTATTATTTGAAAAAACAGATTCACATTTAGGTGCAGAAGTTATATTAGATATGCATAAAATTAAAATATTACAAATGAGAAGAGTATTATCTGATAATGAATTATTATGCGAAACAAACAAAATCACAAATTTTCCAAGTCTAATAGTTTTAGGTCGTAATGAAACACAAAAAAATCTTAAAATTAGAATACCTACAAGGGAAGGTATTTATAACATTATTAAAGAATTTATAACTTCTAAAGGAGAAATTATTCATGAAAATACTTTCAAAAATCATTCAATAAAAAATGAAAATCATAAATTAAGTATTAGCACGACAAAACAATTACAAGCAATAGAACAGCAACAAAAAAATATTGAAAAAAATGGAGACCATTTATATCAGCTTGATTTGGAAAATACATTAAAATATTCAATTTCTCATGAAATTCCATTACATAAAATGATAAAAGATAAAAAAATGGATGCATTAAAAAAATATTTAAATGTATTAGCTGAATATTTTCCTCTAAAATATGGTAACATTTTTCTAGAAACTATTAGAGATATTATTCTAAAAAGAAGTAATATATCTGGAGAAGAATTTAGTCAAATAGTAAAATCTATAGAAGAAGAAATGTCACCTATATATTCTGGACCATCAAAATGGATTGGATGCAAAGGAAGTAAAGAAGAATATCGTGGATATCCTTGTGGTCTTTGGACAATGTTTCATATGTTAACAGTTAATTTTGCTATTCTAAATAAAGATGCTGAACATGAGCCAAGAAAAATATTAGAAGCAATGTATGGATACATACAATATTTTTTTGGTTGTGCTGATTGTTCTCAACATTTTGTCCAAATGGCTTCAAAAAATAAAATGTTTGAAGTATCAAATATTAATGATAGTATCTTGTGGTTGTGGTCTGCTCATAATGAAGTAAATGCAAGGCTATCAGGTGATAATACAGAAGATCCAGAATATAAAAAAATTCAGTATCCAGCAAAAATATATTGTCCAAATTGTAAATATGATAATAGTACTTGGAATGAAGAAAATGTTTTACATTATCTTAAAACAAAGTATAGTTATAAAAAAATAAATTATTATAATTCAGTTAACACACAAAAGGATGATGATAATAAGATGAAAATAAGACAAGAAAGACTTGTATTAAATAAATATACAAATAATAAGAAAATTGGATGGGATTTTACAATTTTTGACATAAGTATTTGTGTTGTGTTATATGTTGCATCTGCTATTATTCTCATATTAGTATGCATAAAATTTGCAGTCAAAAGAACTTATAGAAAACGAAATTATGTTAGTTTACTTGCAAAATGTGATTTTTATTTTTGTTAATCAAAATATTTAAAATTTAAAAAAAATACATTTTTAAAAAATTAATAAGAAAATTGTGAAAGTATAGTGTGTTATAAACATATTGTACATATATTATTTCCATAATTATATAATTTTTTTTACAAAAATATAATATTAATAGATATATGGTTTTAATTACTGTTTGAAATAGTAATAACTAAAATTATAATTCATAAAATATTATACATATTTATTATATATTAATTTAGTAATACATATTGTTTGCAATACATTAAGTATTTGAGATTATATGTTAGAATGGAAAAAATATTGTGATAATTATTTAAGCTTAATGTATAAAATTTTATAATGAGATTATTTTTTCTTTAAATGACATAATTTTCTTTAAAATTTATTAATAAATACAAGTTCTAAGGCTCAATATAAACTATACATTTAACATTATTGTATTAAATTAAAAAATATAATATATAGTAAAGTTATTTAAGTAACATTTATATAATATTATATAATATCAATGCTTTTAAAACTAGTCTTACCAATGTACAATATACATTAATATAAATTACATTATGTTTAATACAAATTATTACATAAAAATTTCCTAATATATGTAAGATTGACAATTATTAGATAAATTAAATTAAACTTTTATGTGTAAATATTAAAATCAAACTCAATATTTTGATAAAATATATTTATTCTAATATTTTTTTAGATTTCTACAATTTTTTCAACAAAAATGAAAACTAATATTATAGTTTTTATTAGGATAAAAATTATAAACTATATGATTTTAAGAATATATTTTTAAATGTATTATATTACATTTAACAATATGTGCTTTGTAATATATATAATAAAGATGAATTAATAAGAGAGAGAAAATAACAAATTTGTTTTTATAAATTTTACAAATTTATTAATTTTTTTAATTATAATTTTATTATTATATTTAATTATAATTTAAAAATATGAAATATTTATGAAATATTCATAAAATATTTATATAATCTATATTTATTTCCATTTAGAATTCGTATAAAACCATGAGTTTGATGTATCCCATATTACACCATTATGTGGTAATTGAGATTTTATATAAGGAAGTATCCATGTAAGATACCATCGGTCACCTAATACTTCCTTTATATTTTGCTTCCAACCTAAATCATATATATGTATTTTCTTATTATTCTCATTAGCTACATTACCTTTAAACACTAAACAAATATGATAAATCCACAAAACTCCAGTATATAACATTCCTACTGTAGATATAATATATAAAATCAAATAAAACTGATTTATAGAACCATCAAATCCAAAAATAAATATTGCTATAGGAAAGATAATTTTAATAAGTGATATAGGAAATTCAAAATGTATTCTATTCCAAATAAACAAATTATTATAACAAAAACTATATGTTGTTGCTATAAATAAATATAAAAGAAACATAATAAAATATCTATGATTAAAATGACCAATGCAACATCCAGTAAAAATACAATGATGATCTCTTTTTAAAATACAAATATTACATATAGAACAATGCCATGAACGAGGAGGTGCTAGAGTTTCACATAAAGCACACAGTCTCCAACCATTTTTTGTATTTGCAGCACTTATTGGCATAATATCTCTTCTGGTGCTAGTATCACAAAAAACTATATATGTAAAATTTCCGACTATGTTTAACATAATAAAATTTCCAAAAAAGAAATGCAAAATATATGATAATGATCCATATTCATATATTGCTGGTAGCACTACCCATAATTCAAACCAATATATTATTGGTACAATTGTTAATATAAAAGTCATAGAAAAAAAATCACTCAACGTACGAGGCCAAATTTTTTTTCGGATGATCATTTTATATCTTTTAATTATTCTTGAACACGTGATTCTTCAAGATACACTTCTTATTAATACTGTTTATTCTATCGTGATATCGATAGAATATATTATCATAACCTAAAAATTAAAATACTTTAAAATATTTTTTTTAATTAAATAATTTTATATAATATATATATATATATACCAGATAATTTATTAAATTCGTCATTTTTTGTAGGAATTATCAGTATTCATAAATTTTGTATACACGTGAAGTTTGATTTTTTATCTAATTCTAATCGATACTTACTTACTTCATAGTATTATTATACGATTTAATTTAAAAATGCTATTGTACATGTACTTATGTGAAATACATAATATTTCATATTAGTATTATATCGAGGAATTTTTATGTTATATATATATATATATATAATTTGAATATTATAAAAAAAAAAATAGCATATAATTCAAGTTCAAAAATAGTTTTCTAATATAAAATTTTATCTTATTTACACAAAATAATATGCAATCTATTGAAGAATTTCCTTTTCCCTTTTCTCCATATTTAATACAAAACCAGTTTATGAAAGAATTATATAAATGTTTAGAAAATGCTAAATTAGGTATATTTGAAAGTCCAACTGGTACTGGTAAATCTATGTCTATTATTTGTGGTGCTCTAAAATGGTTACTTGATTATGAAGAACAACAAAAAAATCAATTAACAACTGCAATTTCTGAACTTGATCAACAAATTAAACAATATAATGATTCTTCTATTAATTGGTTTTTTGTACAAAGTCAACAAATAGAATTAAATAATAAACGACAAATATTACAAACAAAATTAAACAATATCTTTCAATATGAGCAAAGAAAGAATACATTAAAAGAGATAATTAGAAATATAAATAATAAGAAAAAAAATTCATATAAAAATATGATAAATTCTATAAAAAAAAAAGATGAAACAGATAATTCAATTGATAAAAACAATGAAAATGAAAAAATTGAAGAATTACTTTTAGAAGATATGCAATATTTAGAAAATTCTGAAGATGAAGACAAAGAAGAAGTTTATGAAAATACAAAAATTTTCTTTTGTTCTAGAACTCATTCTCAGTTATCTCAATTTATAGGAGAACTCAAAAAGAGTCCTTATTCAAAAAATGTATCTGTAGTAACATTAACATCTAGGTATTATATATATAAGTATTATTTTATAAAAATAAAATAAGTTTCCTAAAAATTTTTTTTTTCTAATTTATATAATAATTTTAGGCAAAATTATTGTATTAATAAAAATGTAAAAAAATTGAAACATTTGAATTTAATTAATGAATGTTGTTTACAATTACAAAGAAAAAAGACAACTGTTAAAGATGAAAAAGATCTTAAAAGAAGAAAGATAGCAACTAGTTGTCCCTTTATACCAGGAAATCAAGATCTACTTTTAGGTGAAATTTTAATACAGATTCAAGATATTGAAGAAATTGTTCAAAAAGGAGAAAGTCTTAAAACTTGTACATATTATGCATCAAGAAAAGCTATTCCATATAGCCAATTAATATTAGTACCATACAATTCTATATTACATAAAAATACTAGAATTAGTTCAGGAATCAATTTGAAAGGCAATGTATTAATAATTGATGAAGCTCATAATTTACTTGAGGCTATTGAAAAAATGCATAGTGTAGTAATTACAGGTAGAAATCTATTGCATTGTTATAACCAACTCTGTCAATATCAAAAAAGGTAAATATATTCTATTGATAACTATTATTATTACTACAAAATTTTATTATTATTTTATTATTATTATTATTATTATTATAGTATTTAGAAAGATATTTGTTTTAGATTTCAAAATTTATTCTCAGCCAAAAATGTTTTAAGCTTATCTCAATTAAACTTTTGTTTGAAAAAACTTTTAACAGTTTTGGGAGCTACCATAAAATCAAATCCTGATGATTTTATAGATGTAAAAATATCTCCAAAACTATATAAAATAGAAGAAATAATGACAGAAATTGATACAGTAAATATATTTGAATTGTTGAAGTTTATTAAAAATTCTCAATTATGTCATAAATTACAACAATTCATAGAACAATATGATACAAATTTAAAAATTCATGATTATAATACAAAACCATGTGGTATAAAGCAATTTTTAAATTCAATTAAAACTAAAGATATAGAGTCTGATGTAATGACAAACATCGAATCAAATGAAGAACAATCAAATAATCCAATAATAGCAATTGTAAATTTTTTAGAATGTTTACAAAGCTGTTCTACTGATGGACGCATATCTGTTATTCCTGGTCCAACTGTTGGACAAAGTATTATGAAATTTCTTTTATTAAATCCAGCAGCACATTTTCATGATATTGGTATATTGATAAACTTAGCTTATAATTTATTTCAATTATGATATTTAAATCTAACTTTTGATATAATTATTTTTATAATTATTTTATGTAAAATTTATTAATTTTTTAATATTATTTTAATTATTAATAGTTCGAGATGCTAGAGCTATAATATTAGCTGGAGGAACAATGGCACCAATGAATGAATTTATAGAACAATTATTTATTGCAGCAGGTGCTGCACCTGAAAGAATTGTTACATTTTCATGTGATCATATAATTCCTAAAGAAAATATAATATGCAATATTATATCTCATGGTCCAACTGGTATTGAATTTGAATTTAATTTTCAAAATCGAGAAAATACAAAATTGGTAAATATAAAAATTTAAAAATAATTTTATTATATAATTATATATACATTATATATTATATAATATATAATTATATAATAAAATTTTATATATATTTATATACTATTTATATTAATCAAAAATTTATTTATTTTTTAATGATAAATTATATACTAAATTTATATAAAATATAATAATATATATAATAAATGAAATATTTCATAAAAAAAATAGTTGGATGAATTAGGGAGAACATTACTCAATTTAAGTAATATCATACCAGCTGGTATTGTAGTATTTTTACCCTCCTATAATTTTGAAGAACTTGTATACAAACATTTAGAAAAATCTGGTATTATTGCAAAACTTTCTTTAAAGAAACATATTTTTCGAGAACCAAAATTAGCTTCTCAGGTAATATTAAAACTTTTTTTTGTATGATTTTTATATAAATTACAAATTTAAAATAAATAATTAATTATTATAGGTAAATAAAATTTTGGAACAATATTCATTTTATATAAAACAACCACAAAATTCACAAAATGGATCATTATTATTTAGTGTGGTTGGAGGTAAATTAAGTGAAGGATTAAACTTTTCTGATGATTTAGGAAGATGTATTATAGTTGTAGGAATGCCTTATCCTAATATCAAATCATTAGAGTTACAAGAGAAAATGAAATATTTAAATGAAAATATTGTATGTATTTTATTTTATTTCTTATTATTTATTATAATAAAGAATCTTGATTAATATTGCATATTATACATATTTATTTTTCAATTTATATTTTTTTTTCTTCTTTTTTTATTAGACACCAGATGCTGGCCAAAATTTCTATGAAAATTCATGCATGAAAGCAGTAAACCAATGTATTGGAAGAGCTATTCGACATATTAATGATTATTCAACAGTAATATTATTAGATAAACGATATATTCATAAAACTAAAATATTGCCACATTGGATTCAACGTACATTAATGATTCACAAAACTTTTGGTAGCATGATTGGCATTTTAGCTAAATTTTTTAATAAGAAGAAAATTAACTTTGATAAAAAAAATGACGAATAAAAATATAATAATAAATACATAACATAAATAATATATTTTATATATTAATATTACATTTTAGAAAAAACTTTTATTAAAAATATTTTTGAAATTAATATTTAAATTATATAAAATTTATAAAACAATAAGAATTAATACAAATATAAAGATTTGATTATTACATATAATTTGCAAGATGCACTTCAAATTTATATGTCAAATCATGATAATAAACTTGACCAGGATATAATATAGAACACGGAAAATGTGACTGAAAAAATTTGTTTCATATATTAATTCTTATCTAAAAAAAATTATTTGCAAAAAATACTCACATAATGGATTGCATTAGGATAATTTTGTGGTTGGATACTGAAAGCACTATACTTTTTATATTGAGCTCCATTTTTTCCCAAAATAAATTCTATTTTTTTAGGCACAGTTATTATTTTTTTATATTGCTTTTCAACTTTTATTTCTTCTTCTTCATCTTCATAATCACTTTTATATAGTTCATCATTTTCTTCAATTTCCCCAATATCCTACATAATATTAAATTAATGTCATAATATTTAAGTGAATAAAATGAAATTAGAATTAATTAAAATATTAATTTACTTCTAATAATTCATATGTAGGTAAAAGTTCTGGGCTAATTTGAGGTGGTAAACGACCTCCAGTATAAAATTGTACTCCACGTTGATCTGAATAAATTTCTAAAGCACTAAATATCAATATTTAAAATATATATTTAAATATATATTTAATATATAATTAAATATATATTTATTTATTATTATCAATATTTAAATATATATTTAATAAATAATTAATATATTTGATTTATATGTACCGTCCACTTTTTACATGCCATACTTTGGCTACAAATGAGCTACCAGATTGTCCACTTTTTGTAACACACAAATTATGATCATAACCTTCTCCAGGTGGTACCTGATAAAATTGAAAATTAAGATTTAAGAATATTTTATAAATAAGATTCAATACTATTTTAAAAATATTATCATTATTTATATATTCTTCATTTAATATTATAAAAATATTATATTATAATTTTATACCTTTTCCATATATTCTCCTAAAATTCTAGGTATTCGAAAATCCATTACTGTTCCACCTACTCCACGTATAGCACCTGTTGGAATTGGATCTGTATAGTCCGCAAATGTCCATCGATCACAATTTAGTAGTACTTTATGTTTTCTCAATTCAGCTTCTCCAGAATCCTATTATATTTTATTTATTTAATCAAATATATATTTAAGAAAATATTACTTACATGTCCAGCTAAATTAAACATAGATCCATGTGATAAATTCACTATTGTTGGTTTTGAAGTTGTTGTTCTCATACAAATATCAAGCTTATTATCTGAAGTCAATTTAAATCTTATTGTAGTTAACACTGCACCTGGATAGCCTTCTTCACCATCTTGACTTAAATAGCTCATAACAACTGAACATCCAGCAATGTATGAATCCCAAATTTTACGACCAAATCCATTTGTCTAGTAAAAATATAATAAAATTATTATTTTATATAAATTTATTTATATATTAATATATAATAAATTTTATTTATATATTAATATATGATATAATTAATTAATACTCCTCCATGTAAATGATGTTTTCCATTAAAATCATTTTTTGTTAATTCATAATCTCTGCCTCTAATAGTAATATGTCCATTTTTAATACGATTTGCACATCTGCCTAATATACAACCAATAAATGGATTTGTTACAGGATTTGTATATCCTGTAATAATTATATTTTAATTATAGTATTAATTTAATATTATTGTTATTGTTATTATTGTAATAATAGAATTATTATTACAATTATAAGTCAATAATAAAATTATACCTTTTATATTATCAAAGCCAAGAACAATATCAGCAGAATATCCATATTTATCTGGACATTTTAAAGATACAATTGTAGCACCCCAAGTAATAACAACAATTTCCATTCGATTAGTATTCACCATAGTATATGATTTTATCGTTTTTGGTATAACATCAGATAAAATTTGATCTCTATCATCTAATTACAATAATCTATTATCAATTTAAATGTTATATTATATTAATTTTGTTAAAATAAAAATCTCATTAATCAGTTTACCAATCCAAATTTCTCCAAATATTCCTTCTGTAATTGTTACATTTTTGCAATTGCAAGCATGAAAGTCCATATTTAATGATATAATACTGCAATATTATATATATTTAAATAATATCTTATTTAATAAAATAATAATAATAAACTTACATTAAAACAATAATTTTACTTTTCATTTACTACTATAAAAAAATTTAAAGTATTTCATTGAATTTCTTTTTTGTTTAGACAATAGAAAATCATTTTTTAATATTCAAACAAAAGCATTTTTTACTATAAAAATATAATAAAAAAATGATATTTATATATATTTTTGCTATTATTTTAAATGATTTATTAATAATAATAAGGCATCATCTACAATTTGTGATGCTTTAATGTTACAATAATTATAGTAAATAATATAATATATACTCCAATTACTATTTATAATTTATATAATTAATATTTATAGAATAATGTACAATGCTTGGAAAAATACATGAATTTTTAGTGCAAATCAGACACCGCATTAATACATTTCCCATTCAATTTTCATGTTTTATTATATTTAAATTTGTTAAGTAAAAAATCGAAGACAATATTTTTTATTGCATTTTTTTTAACGAAATTATTTTTCTCTATAATTTTATATAATAAATTTGATATTTTTTTGTGATATTGTATCATTTAATTTTTTATTGTTTTATATATTACTGATCATGCAGTGTCCAATATCTTTGTTTGGCAAACTATATCCATCGCAGAAAATTCTTTGAAATTTCTACATCTTCGTATAACTGTTAGAGTTATATTACATCAAAGATTCCTTCCTCAAGCTTTGGATTCTGCATTACATTATTTTAAGGCGCACACCAAAGCAGTCACTTGTTACTTAAATACACGTGGAACACATTGCACTTAGCTTATTAGTGATATTCTTATAACTATAGAGTAATTTAAAATTTAAATAAATCATCAGTAATTACGGATTTACGGGTTGCAGTACATTCTACGTCTTATAAGTTCACATATACAAAACAATACTGACACAAAATTAATTTTATATATAAATATTGAATAATCAAAAATTTCTAATAAAACTATGATAAACTCCTCAATATCAATAATTTTCAAATATAATTAAAAATATTAAAATGTTTATCATATTTTGCAACAAATAATTGTAAATATATATAATAAAGGAGATACCACAGTAAGTATTTTGTGTACATAAAAAATATGCTTGTTTTATAATTATCTTCTTGGTCAATCATGTTATCATACAAATTATTATTTTTAAGCAGCATGCATAATTTCAACAAGAAAATATTTATATTTTAAGTTTATATTGAAAGAAACATATTCAAAATAATAATAGTTTTCATATGTTGTTTAAATAAAGAAATTTAATTTTTTGAAAAAATAATGATTTTATATTTATAAATTAAATTTTATAATATATAATTTAAAGTATTTATTGCAAATATGAAATTATATGATTTATATAGTTATTCTGAATAATGTTTCTTCATATGTTATTTCTAATCAACAAAACATATAATCTATAAATGGACTTTGATAAAATATAAAATTGGATTTTTCTTATTTTCAGGTAAAGAACTTATATAAAAAATAAATATAGCTTAGACTAGCACTGACGGCGGTTGAACGCCATTACATCATTCATAATTTATAGTTGCTAATATTATACTTGGTAAGTAATTTATTATTAATTATTATTAACGAGAGAGAGAGAGAGAGAGAGAGAGAGAGAGAGAGAGAGAGAGAGAAAGAGAGAGAGAGTATTGGTATTAGCATTCTAAGATTTCATTAAATATTTTTCAATTGTTTTGGAAGCATTTTCAACTTTTTTATCTCTCTTAATGTATTAAGTACATGATACTAGCACCGCAATATATCTTTGTACAACATAGAAAGGCATATCCATGAAATATTTATTCTATAGGTCTTCAATAACATCATAAATATTTCAGTCAACTGTTTAATTTTTTATCATATATAAGATTTCACAAATTGAACTTTGAAAAAGTATATAAAAATACAACTAATGAATTGATGTATACAAGAACTAATTTAATATATTAAATATATTTTTTTTAATATTTAAATATAATTTTTGTAATTAATTAATTTTAAAAATATTTTATTAATAAAAAGAAATTTTCGAATTTTCAAATTGATAAAAAAGTATATTAAAAGATTTTAATATAAAATTTAGGCAGCAAAGCAATGATATGATATTTTAAAAATTATATAAAAATGATTAAAAAAATACTTCTTCAAAGTTTCTTTTCTTCTTTTTTCTTTTCGACAATATTTATATACATTAAGACATATTCTACAATACTGATTATTATTCAAGATATTACCATAAAAACAGTTTTGAAATAAAAATTTGTTCTTTTCTCATATTTTACATTCTATGAGGTCAAAAAATAAATGAATTATTTTGATTCCATAAAACGGCGTAGAATATATGCAACATGTAAATAAGTTTTGATTAGCATTTGTAAGTTTAATTTAAATCATATGTTAGTTATTTGTTACAAAATCAATTAACATGCACATATCAAAATCAAATTTAGGTTGATTTTTTTAGCAATTATGAAGATATGGAATATAAATCAAAATAAAGGATTTTATAAATTAATTTCATTTTTACTTTCTATTCAAATGATAAAAAATAGAAAAGAAATATATTAATATAATATCCAATATTTTGATCATCTATTAACATCTTAAGTAAATACAAAATTATTTCACTCATGCATTTAAAATTTCAAGAAAAATTACATACTTTACATAATCAATATAAAGGAATGTATTGATCATTATTACATTGTTAAGCAAACAATAACTATCCAATATGTACTTGTATGTACAATAGTGATTATGTATATGGAGTGTCCTTGTTCAAAAATTTTTGTAAGTATATCACACATTAGATGACTAATATAATTTATAAATGAACTAAATATGTTAAATATTTTTCTACATATATGCCAATCATTTCAATATTATTTTTATAAAAGAAATATTATTTTAACTGCACATGGCATACTAAATTAAAGCTATCACACTAGTAGCTTACAAATGCATTAAAATTGCTACTGTACAAACTTTTCACATTTGTATCTAGTGCCATGGTATAAAGATTAAAAGTTAATAAAATAATATACGAATTTGATAATTTAATATCAAAGAAAACGTATATCTATTATACAATTCTTATCAATTACAGATGTTTCATACTTAAGCATATACAGGAAAACATTGTGTTAGGAAAGGTTACTATAATCTATTGTTTATTATATAAAATTATTCTATACTCTATATATATATTCATATATATTGTCACAAAGTAATATTTAAAAAAATGATAAATAATCTTGTTAAATAATCAACAATGTTTTCCTGATTATATGTTTCATTTTACTCATTGCAATATATAATTAGTTTCAACAATTATTTTTTTCAGTCACAAAAATTTTGATGGAATGTAAATTATGGTTATCATTAATATCTGTAATAAATATGAGCAGACAGTTGTAAAACTAAAGGAACAACAAAGTCTCATTTTTCTAAGATGATATTAGACAAACAAATATAGAATTTAATTTTTAATATTCTGAAAAAGGAGTTAATATCATTTTAAATTGCATAATATAACAAATATATAGGATTTTATATATATTTTTCAGAATATTTGAATTAAAATATTTATTCTTTTTTATAGTTTTTGAAGTATTCATGCAAATAATAGAAATATATAATATTTAAATATACTAAATACTAACAGCAGATGCAAGATGTGCGGAATGTATGAATAAAATATTTATAATACATAAAATATAATTTAAAAATATTGTATAGTATTGAATGGTCAATACAAGAATTATCTCGATATTTATATTATTTCTACAAAATATACATGAGACATGTCAGTTCTTTATTAAATTAAAAACAGTCTAATTGAATACAAGAGTCTTTTATAAGAATGTCTCAGTACATGGAATGTTAAATTCTTACTGCATTTGATGTTCAATATTAATACATGATAAAATGTTTTGCAGGAGGCAGTGCTTTGACAACGTGCATCGCTGTATTTTCTAGTTATGATTTGATAAATTTCTGCCATACCATAAATTGTTTGATTCATGTGATTGTAAATTGAGTGTTACTTTCAAGATTGACAAAACTTTTTGAATTCCTAATCATCTGTCATTTTAAATAAGCCAATGCTATGATAAAAATTCTCTCTCTAATTCAGATATACTTGGTTTTCTATTTCTATTTATCCGTCGATTAGCTTGTAACGGCACGGTAACATCTTGATTTTGTCCATGTACGGGAATATCAAGTAATGTTTCTCTATGTTCACGCGAAATGTTCACTCCATCTCGATCAAATGTTACTGGAGAAAATCGAACTCTACTTATAGAAATTTGACTATCCTTAGCTGAAACATAACTTGAATCCTCTGAAGTTAAAGAATCTGGTGGAGTAGGATTTGTTGGAGTACCCGAACCTGAATTATTTTTACTTACGCTTTTATTTGGTGAATTATACGAGTAATTGGATCGTTTTAAACTTGATCGTAATCGACTAACTACTTCTAAATTATTGGGTCTTTCTCCAGAATTTGAATTTGAATCGTGCGAATTCTGACGCGTCAACAGTTGAGAACCATATTCATGATTAAGCATACTAGGACTATATGTTCCAACATTTGAAACAATATTTGAAGATCGTTGATAATAATGTCCAGGTGAATATAAAGAATAATCATCCTCATCTTCTAAACGAAATGTTGGATTAATGTTACTTTGACTCGATGTACTCGCGTTTGATACATTTGATGAAGTACGATGATGAGTATATGAAGGAAGTCTTGACATTGGTCGAGCTGGACTATTTATACTGCTTGGATTATCATAAGCATGTGGAAATTCAGAACACTCAAGCATTCTATCACTAAAGGAAAAAAAGTTAGTATTTATAATAAAAATTTTTTATTTTTATTTAATGCTAATGAACTTACTGATAATCTGTAGGTACAAAATATGTTGGTTCTGGTGATCTATAATATTCTGGTGGAACAACTGTATATACTGGAGGTCCATAATCTGGAAAGGGAGCAACATTGCCCATATATATTGTTGGTACTCTTTCCATTCGATCAACTCTTCCAGTATCATGTATATATATATCTTCATTACTAGTGCTGCTACTTTTTCTTCTAGGGCTTGGTGTTGGTGCATTAGAACTTGTATTGCTTGCATAATGTTGTGGTGAATCAGTAAATCTTAGAGGTTTATCAGGTATCACATTAGGTGGAAGACCAGGTGCTATACCACCCATGTTGCTTAAAAATGGTCTGTAATAATGTTTTATTTTTAATATATATATTATATATTTTATATTACACACATTTTATTATATTTATATTTATATATATTTATATATTTATATATATATTTATAAGTGTATAAATGTAATATAATAAATATATATATAATATAAATATATACTTAATAAATTATGTAAAAAAAATATATAATTACAAATTTAATATTTTAATTTCATACCTGTAATGCCTAGCTGGTCCATGGTATGTATTATGGGGATAACCACTACTTGAACTAAATTCATAATCAGGTCCAAGATAACTGGAATTACGATTTGATCCAGTATCTGTTTGAAACCACCATCGTGGAGGTTCATCTTCACATTCACCAAGTCGTGGATATAATCTTGGATGAATTGGAGATATGTTTGACATTCTTACATCATATCCAGTAGCTACTCCAGCTAACATAGCTGCGATATTATATAAAACCAATTCTATTACACTTAACTTTGGCTTCTTCATTTCTCCATTGTAAAGAGTTGGCATTGGTACAGGCATTGGCATAATGTAAGGTCCAGTTAATCCAGGCTTCAAAGGATAATCTGATGTTATCCAATCAGTTGAGAGATCAGGTGGTAAAGTTGTATAGTCTACAAAAATAATCAAATTTCTACAATAATAATGATGATATATTTTTAAAAATATATGTACTTATAATTATAAAATATGATAAAAATTTTTACTTTCCTTTCTATAATATCAAATATCAAGATATTATATCAAGATACTATTACTTTTAATTCCTTACCTTCATATACAAATTTTACAAGCCTCTTATAAATATTGTATATTTTTTGTATTAAATTTAGATTAAACAGCTTAGTATAAAAGTTATAACATGCTTATTTGTTATTATATTATTCATAATAATTTATGTGTATAAGCACAACATATTACGTGCATCATATTAAAATATTACATGCCACAAATTTAAACTATATTTTATTATCAATAATTTTCAAAAAGCTTGTACATTATTATTTAAAATACATGTTAAACGCATAAAACCCATATCATAAAAGTAAATATACACGTTGAAACTTTAAAAATTAAATAAAGTATAAAAAAAAGGAAGTAAAAATTATTTTTAAAATAATAATTAATCTTAATTAATCTTATTAATCTTATTAATCTTAATTAATTTTACTCTATACAACTTTTGTTTTTCTTTTTTTCCCTTTTTTCTTTTTTATTCAGTTTAAAATGTTGTTTTCTTATTTGTTATTTGTTATAATATATTATCAATTTTATTTCTTCAATAATAATATGTAAAAAATATTGAAAATATAGTTATTATATAATTATATTATCATAAAAATATTTTATATATTGAATAATTGAATAAAATAAAAATATTGAAAATTGAATGGTGTATTTGTTGCACATAAGATTGGAATTTTATGATAAACAAGACCAAACCCAAATGGCCTTAATAGTTAGGATCCTACTGGAAGCATGCAGAAGGATTCTTTTACGCTCGATTATTGGTTATATAAAAAATAAATAATAGAACATTTTATAATTTGTTCCTTATTTAATTTTTAATTAATTAGTAAATTAATCAAAATAAATATATTATAATTTAACTAAAATGTATATCAATATAATAATTAAAATATACTCAATATTCATTTAATATTATAAATATTACCATAAACCGAGCGTAAAAATTCAGAAAACGAAAAAACAAAATTCAATGTGTCCAACTGAAAAGGTTTTATTGAAAAAATTTCTATTTCTAAATACAAGTGTGCATGTCGCTCCATGTGTCGTATGTAACATGTGCAAAATTTCTGAATCTAAAAAATATCGAAAATCTATGATAATACAAAAATGAAATCGCTGTTAAATTAGGCTGAATAGTTAACAAAATGTGAATTGATTTAGATGCGAATAAAGCAATAAAGAAAAAGATACAACTCCAAACTCTACTTTTACAATTAAAACATGATATTTTGCATAAATCTTATGACTTTAACTTAATTTTATTTTAATTTCTGGAATACAATTATGCAAAAAACACACTTTTTCATAAACGCCACTAAATGAAACAATTTTAATATAGAATTTTTTATTGTAGTGGCAAAAGCACATGATTTTTTTTATATAGTAAGAGGCTGTTAGCTCTGCTTTGTTAGAATGTTATATACTCCAGATAACATCAGAAAAGAACCAACACCAGAAAGATTGCATTTACTCTTTATATATATTTTATTAAATTACAGTTTAAAGTACGAAGTTTTTATCAATTTAAATTAGGATAAATAGTTTTTAGATTATTGTAGGATACTGGCTACCCTTTATTAAAATATCCTAACATAATATATCTTATATATTTTGATATTATTATGTAATTTGATAGACATTTGTATTTGATAAACATTGATTAATATTAATTAATTAAACTATTAATTTATGCAGATGAAACAAATTTTATTTTTTTATTTGATTCTTGATAAAATTAAAAAATATTCCTTATAAGATACATATCAATAATATGTACCATTCCAAAAATTCAACAGAATAAAATAATCTTAAACACACTATCAACATAAAAAAAGAAAATAGTTTATTATTAAATGTTTGCAACTGTACACCTATTGCTAAAAATATGCATATATATAAAACTAATTTTTAGATAATCAGGAAATATAAGAAATTTAATTAAATTGCATATTCATGCATTTCAATCAAAATAACTTTAAGCACAAACTACATAAATAGAATTTAGCAAAAGAAAAAAAAGGAAAGAAAATATAAACATAAAAAGGCACTATCCATCTGAGATCTTTTAATAATGAAAAAAAAAAAAAAAAAATTATTGGCTAGTGATATAAAAGAAAAACTAAGTCTCCTATAAAATGTGAAACAATTGCACAGCAATATAAAGAGACTTACGAGTGGGATAGATGCTTTCCTCTGAAAGGCCTGTGGTAAAGAAAATATAGGACTGTTACTAAAACATATAAAACAGAAAGAAGATATTCTCGTGAAACGCGTTTAAGAATGATGTGCACATCTTTATCTTTGTGAAATGCAATGTTATTTATCATTTTTCTTTAAAAATTTTTCGGCAATAGAAGTCTTAAGTGAATCATAAATAATTGAATTTATATCTTCAGAACTTTTATGTGAAGAAATATCTTTAAAAGATTCAATTGAATTTTTCTTTCCTCTATAATTAATTTGCGAATTTTGACAATCTTGTACATATCCAGATGCATGTATAACTGAATTAATTTTATCAACATGATCTTTTTCACAATTACGCAAATATTCATTACTTTTCGATTTTTTACTTAAAGAGGAATTTAAATTAAAACTTTGATCTACTTGTGAAGTGCATTGTTTTAAACATATATCTGATATATCGGTAACACAATCAAAAGAGGTAGGAGATTTTTTGCATTTATTATCTGAAAACAAACCTAAAGAATTTTTTGAAATGGAACTATCATTTGAATGTTCTGAATCAAAATTACAAAGTTCTGATTCAAGACTTTCGAAGTCTATGCCTTCTCGAGAATTAGCAGTTAAAAATTTAGGCATTGCACTATTTTGATCGGAATCACGCCGTGATTGTGGTATTGCAAAATATGTCGAAAATTGTGGTATAGATATTGTATTGTCTAGAACACTATATTCTACTTTAACACCAGTTTTATCATCAAGAGCATCTCGACTTCCCCAAGCCTTCATTTTATTAAAAACTCTCAACGGACTTTTAGAAATTCTGGATTTATGGTGAAATTTTTTACCTATAGAATTTTCAGGGCTTGATTCTAATCCATCTATATCATTAATTTTTATAGTAACAGAATTTTTCTGTTCTGTACTATGTGAAGAATTTAAAGAACTTTTTCTTGATCCAGAAGGAGAACGAAAGAAATCAGCGAAAGCAGCTAATCGTGATTCTGAGCTATCTCTACGTCTCGATTCTTTTGATTTACTTCTTTCGCGTTTCTTGTTTTTCACACGTTTCGCAGTGCCAACCAAACTAGATGCTACGTTTTGTACAAAATTTGAAGAATACGAGTGTTCCCAATCACCGATCACATGCTTTTGACATTTAGAAGGTGAAGTTTTCGAAGTATTTCGAACTATAGATTTTGAATAATTATCCATGACTAAATGGTCATCCGAAAATTGAGTTTTAAGATTATTTGCTGATTTATGTAAGACTACTGACTCATAAATATCATTGTCCACAATAACCGAGTCTTCATTACAAGGCGGACAGCTTGTATTTTGTATAATGTTGTTAGAATTTTCTGGAATGTTATAACTAAATCCTGGTTGATTGTCTATCAAATTATTTGCTGAGGAGTACAACTTTCTGGAGGAGGGGTTACCTATTTCTTGAAGAAGCGGGGAACGATGTGCCAACAGAGCGGTACGTAGGGGTGTCTTTTCTAGATCTGGAGCAGAACGAGACCATCGTTTGCCACCTGGAGATGCGGGATTTGGTGGTTGCGTGATAATAGCTCCACGTTCACGTTGGTGAAGTGTTGATGGCCCCCAAGTCTTACCCTTTACTCCATCTGCTGGTACTAAAGATGGAAGACAAAAAACAAAACGCTACTCACTACAATACTAAGTTTCCCTCTTACCCTAAACTCTTTTAAAATATCTGCACACTTCAAAAAGATAAAGGTGTTTTATGAGATTGATTAAAAGATTATAAATTATAAGATTTATTAATAGAGATCTATAAAATTATTCATTAAAAAGTTATTTTCATTTTAAAAAATACTTTCATAAAAAATTTCTTAAAAATAAAAAAAATTTATTTTTTAAAATATTGTAATATTAAATAACATGTTCTTCTTTTTATTAATTATATATATTAAATGATAATAATTATATAAAATATATAAAAATATATTCAAAATTATTCACACCATGCTAATAAAAAATCAATATTAAATTAATACAATGTATCTACAAAGCACAAACAATATAATTTTTTGAAAATATTAAATTAAAAAAATAATTAAAAAAAATATTTGAGAGCAAAACCAATCATTCATTATTGATCGAAATTATATATTATTAAAAATCTAAAAAATAAAATACTCACATGCAATTGCACGAAGTCTCGGAATACTAGGTGAGCCTGGTGGACTATTAGGTCTTGATGGATTTCGAACTTTTCCTCGATCTAATGCTGTATGTTGAACAGTTATTGTGTGACGAAAATCTGTAGAAATGTAAAAATGTTATTTAATGTAAATGTTATTTAATTTTATAATTAAACTATTTAAAATTTTATATAATATTATTAAAATAAATTACATAATATAATTATATATAACATAATATATTTACCGGAAGGAGCGCTTATATTACTTCCTGGTTCTTTTTTATTTAATTTTAATCTCGATTTTTTGAATTTTCCACGTCTTTTGTTTGGTGTAGGAGTATTTTGTTGTTGAATTATCATTACAGTAAGTTCACGCTCTAATAAATCTATTTCTCGGGCAGCTAATTCTTGTTCTCGCTGCCTTAAGTTTTCTTCATGTTGTCGTTGCTGAACTTGTGCTTTTGTCAATTCTTCTTCTCTACAGCGCAGTTCCTAATATATAAACATAAAAAAAATACTATATATAATTTGTTTGATAATTTTAGTAAATTATCATTTTAGTAAACGATTTAACAAATATTTTAATAAATAAAAATTTATAATGATAATAAATATATTTTATATATTTTTTGCTTGAAATAATTTAATAAAATAAATAAAAATAATTCAATAACTTTATTTATACATTATCTTACCTCTTCTAATGAACGGCATGCCTTTGTATAGCATTTGAAAGAATTATAAATATTATTTATATTGATATAAATAATAATAAGCATGCCATACTTGCACAAATTATAATGATAATATTAATTTTGTTGTTATACTTTTCGTCGTTCATATTTAGCAAAATTTCAGATTTAAATACCTTTTCCTTCATGCGCAATCCATGAAGAACTTGTTCAATTTCAAGCCTCCAATCTTCTTGCATTGTGTGAAATGATTCATGTGGTGTTGCTGCAAATGCACTACGTACTTCATCTAATGCTATTAAAATTTCTGCAAATCCTGGTCTTGAATGACTATCAGATGCCCAACAAGCTAAAAAATTAATTTTTTTTTTAAATTTATATAAATTAAGACATTTTATATTTTTAAACTATAAATGATTATAAATTTATACACCTTCCATTAAAAATCTCCAAGGTTGAGGACAAGTTGATGGAATGGGCAATGTAAGTTTATTTACTGCAACTCCATATGCTACTGCTAAAGCATCTATTCCTTTATAAGGTGTTTCACCAGTTAAAAGTTCCCATAAAAGTACTCCATAACTAGGTATATATTTAAAGTATTAATATAAAAAGATATATTTCATTTAATTATAATAGTTATACAACATAAGTAATAGGAGATATAAAACTCACCTCCAAACATCACTGGCTTTACTGAAAGTACTCTTTTTAATAACTTCTGGTGCCATCCAAGCATATGTGCCCGCCGCTGACATACGAGTTGTTTTATAAACTTCTCTTGCTAGTCCAAAGTCTGTTATTTTTAAAGTTTTATATTGTAGATCATCATTTTCTATAGGCTCACTCAATAACACTATTATCAATGAAAATAATATATTATTTTAATATATTATATATATATATATATATATATATATATATATATATATATATAAAATATATACACATATATATATATATTTACACATGTACACATAATATTTAATAAATTTTTATAAAAAAAAATTTTTAATTAGTTCTCTTACCATTGGAACTCTTTAAATCCCTATGAATAAGACTTATAGGTGCTTTATTGTGAAGATAATCCATGCCACGAGCAATTTGTATTGCCCAATCAACAAGTACATCAGGCCTGATTTTTCTACCACTAAGAACCCTGTTCAAACTACCACCTCGTGCATATTCCATTACGAGACACATATTTGGCATTTTTAAACAAACTCCTTCTAATTGCACAATATTTTCATGTTTCAATAACCAAAATAACTTAGCTTCTTGTCGAACATTTTCTAATGTAACACTTGGTTCTTCATCTGGATCTTGACGGGCTGCTTTCACAGCCACTTCATGTTTTTGCCAAAATCCTCTAAAATATCATAAAGCATTATTCTTCTAAAAAATTATATACTTAATATACTTAGGATATATTTATAGTATACTTAGTATTATACTATAATATAATAATTATACTTAGTATACTAATAATATATATATCTCAAAAATATTATAAAATTAAATTATACCTATAAACTTTTCCAAATCCACCAACTCCAATCACTTCTTCTAACTGTAATTCTTCAAAATCAATTTCAACTGGTTGAACTTTATCAATTACCGATGAGACTTGATCAATACTTTCTGCTTCTGCAACAAAATTGGCTGGAAAAATACCAACTTTTCCATGGATTTTACCAGTCCACCATCCTTCATCACCTGAGATTTTTGAATCCTTAGATAAGACCTAATGTATAGAATAAAATACATATATATATATATTACATATAGCATATATATATATATATATATATACTTTGACATTCTAATAAAAAATAATTTAAATTTATATGTATCTATAATAAAAATATCTTACCTCAACTGTTTCACCTCTTTGTAAAGATAATTCATCTTCACCTTGGGCAACATAATCAAATAATGCTGTGAAAATTGTTGAACTATTGTCTTGTCGTGATTGAGAAGAGGAATGTGTACCATGAGATGGACTAGTCTGTTGAGAAACAGTTCTTGCTGTACCACCACTATGTGTATCAGAAACACTACTATCAGACATATTGTTACTAGATGTACGCCCATACAAGTATCCGTAACTGAAATATATAAAACTTATATAAAATATATTTTCATAAATTCATGCACATATCTTTATTATTCTTTATACCTTGTGGAATGATTATTTGTTCTATTATTATGTTGATATCGTGGAGATGAGTTGGTTGTATTAGGACTATGAGAATTAGAGGATCCATTCTCTGAATGAAATAAAAATCGCTCGCTCCGATGACGAGCATCTGGTTGTCCGTGGTCCATCAAGGTAGACAAGCCTCTTGCCGATAGCCCGGCTGGCGGCATATGGCTTCACACTCTTCTTAATCTTTTCCTTTTTGGAAATTAAATACCTTCTTGTTTTATAATCTTAATGTAATATTTTATCAATAAAATCACAAATAATATAAAACACTTTGAATATTAGTTCAACATAAAAAAGCTAAAAAAGCATGTATAAGAAATGATGAAAATCTAATATTCACTTTGTATTATTTTTTTAACACTACACATTTTACACATTTCACGTTCATTTTATACATGTTTTTTCTAAAAATATAGTTAATACACGAATTTAAACCAATTATTGAATACTTTGACAATAATTTAATTATATGCACAAATTTTACGAGAAAAATGTGGGGTGAGAAGAGGTGATCATTACCACCACTAACACCCCTTGCATAAAAACACTTTAATGATGACCGGCATTTTGATTTGTGAGTCCGGCAATAAAGCGGCAAATATCTTGTAATTTTTTATCGACCATATTCGTATTTGAAGCGCTAAAGAAAAAATCTCAGAAGAGTAGAAAAAAGCTCGATATGCCATAAAATCACTTGGAGTCTCGCGTCGGGGTGTGTATACCCACAAGCCACTGTTGATGAGGCCGATTCTTTTCATTGAATCGGCACTAGGAATAATGTATGTGGGACATGTAGGATTGAAAGCGACGTGTTTGCCTCCCCGAGGACACGACGCTTCGCGTCAGCCCACAAAATGCACGATAATTCCACATTTAATGATAGAAAACGAAGCAGCACTCATAGCAATAACCTAACGGACGCCATGTTTCGTTTGACGGCCCCACCATTGACGTGATATATTAGATCACAATTTATAGAAAGAACATTTGAAAAGTTGCTTATAACATTTGAATTGAATAAGGTATATTCGCAATATAATGGTTCTGAAGCAATCCTCGAACTGAATCATATTTATAATATAACTTAATAAATTAATATATATTGAATAAATATTTATATACTTGAATAATATTAAATAAATTTTACTTACATTATTATATTTTTATTGATTATAATTAATACTAATAAATGATATGTATAAAATGATATTAAAAAAAATAATAGACATTCTAATCATAGATGAAATTATATTGTTCATGTTCAAAATCATCTGAGATGTGAAGATGGCTGCAAAGTCAGTATCGTGTGCGCCAAATACATTGATTAAGAAGTCCAGATAAAATGTATCGCCTTATTGTTTGTCATGCGATTTTTCAAATTGAAAAAATAAACTAAGAATAAAGCTGTAAAACAGCAAGTGATGGAAAGATGGTGAGGGAGCATTTTTGCAATTGGTATGGGTTCTCAAACGCTGGAAATTTTGAGACAAGGCGTCTGGGCGAGCCTGACAGGAGGCTGGTTTTACGATCCCCATCTCGATGTTTTTTCAAATACTTTTCACTTATATATTTGGCTTTTCTTACTTTGCCTACCATTTACTATATATCTTGTAAGTCTATTTATATATATATATATATATATATATATATTAATTTATATAAATCATTCTCTATTTTTTATAAATAATAAATTGTATATGTTTACATTATCTATGAATATTATAATTTAATAACATGTATTTTAGGTTTTTATATTTGTAAATGAATTTTATATAAATTTTGATTTGTTTACGCGCGCGCGCATGCACATGTGTATAATGTAATATGGATGAATATGTAAATTTTTCGTAATTATATACTCATAAATATATAATTATATTATTATCTAAAATTTAGAAAATCAATTTTTTATTTTATAGTATTTTCCACCAACGTTATATGTTTGGATAGCATATTGTTCTTCAATTGGAGCATTGTTTGGTACAATAAAGTGTGTTAATCATGCACTTCATTGTATGTATGATACAACTGAATGTCTAGAAGAATCAAATCAAACTATTAGTCAACACAGATCAGAAAATGAAAAAAGACGCACAGTGCATAATAAATGTAGGGAACAATCACAAGAACAAGTAGATCATGGAATAGAACTACAAGTCTTAAATGGTATAATAGATTATATCTTTTATATTTTAAATTCCTCAAGTAATTTCATTGTACATCTTATTTATGTTTAAATTTTTATTTTGAAATAATTATATTGAATATATTTTATAAATTTCATTGTAATTTATATAATTTTATTATAATATTATATATTATGAAATTATATTTTTGAAGAACAATATTTATTTTTTTATGTTTTAGGAAAAACAGATACACCACCTGTAGAATGCTCATCACGTAATTCTTTTATTGAATCAAATGTACAAAATGCAGATGCAGATAGTATAACATCTGAATATAATCGAGATAAACCTAGTTCAACTATAGATTTGAAAGTAGAAATTCACAGAAAAAATAGCTCTGAAAGTTCAGAAGAAGCACAACAGTTGACTAAACCAATGGTATCTAGTATAAATATACATGAAGCAGATTTAGCTTCTACGCAATATCATGAACCATGTTTTCGAAATATAATAAATGGTACTAATTTTATAATTTTTATGATACAATCTTTATAATATAATTGCTTATTTTTATATATTATTTTTATATTAATATTTCTTTTGGGAAATTTCGAATGTATATAGATAGAAGGTTGAAAAGACAGAAATGTGTTGTAATTACTGAAGAGGATCGACAAAGTTCAAGAAAATTATGCAGACATGCATCTGAAGATTCGCGAAATCGTCATTCTAAACAAGGTAGTCTTGGTAAAACAGGTTCAGAGAGTCAAATAAAACAAACAAGCTCATTAGAATTGGAACATCATGAAGATGATTATCCTTACTGGAAATCAAACCAAAGTGTTCGACGTCTCAATTCTAATTCGATTCCAATAGAAACACATTTAATGAATGATCATCCACAAAGTTTAGAAATTATATCAAAAAAAGAAGATACAGAAAAAAATAAAATTTCATCACATCCACAATCTCTAGAGGTGAAAATGAATAAATATTTTATTTGAAAAATAAAAAGAAATAAAATATTGAATGAAATATATTTAAATACTTTTCTTGCTCTTAAGGTTATTACAAAAAAACCACATCAACAACTTATTCATCCACAAAGTCTTGAAACAATTGGTGCTACTAAGAATATAAACACTACAGATGACAATAATTTACCTCTTCACCCACAAAGTCTTGAAACAATTAATACTAAAAAGGTATTATTATAATATGATTATAATAATATACAATGTACAATATCATACATATATGCATGTAAATAAACATACGAATCTATAAATATATAAATATATAAATATTTAATATTATATAAATATTTAATAATAATTATATATAAATATATAAATATAAATGTGTGTGTGTGTGCGCGCACGTGTGTATGAAAATATATTAAGAAGTTTTATATATATATATTTTTTAAAGGTATTACCTCAAAATACATTAAAAAAAAACCAATTACAATTATTACCATATCTTAGTTATGGATCAGAAATAGTACATCCTATAGAAGAACAAAGTGATGAACAATTTGCTAATGAAAGTTCTGGAGGATTTAGTCTTCAGGATTCTTATAGTCCACTACTTACTCGAAAGACTTGTGAAACTAATGCTACCTCTAATCGGGATAGAAGTCTTAGTACTAGTCGATTTGAAGATAGATTTTCAAGGTAATTTAAAAAATAAATACAATATTATTAAATATTTAATATATAAGATTATTAAATTTAATTTTATATTTAGACGCAATGAAGATGGTGGTGTAGATAATGATTCTGCAAATTCTCGTGATGCATTAATTGAAGAATCAAAACCTGGTATTAAAAGAAGATATAGTAATACAAGTCAAAGCAGTCATGAATTCTCAGATTTAGACAACTTATTCAAAGATAAACAAGATAAATCGAAAAATATTGATGATCCATTAAATGTTGGAAGTATAGTTGGAATAGATCAATTATTTGAAAGTGGTGATTGCACAATAGAATCACGAATAAATAAAGGTAAGTTTTTAACTTTTTATATCAAATTGATATTTATTATTGAAAGAATTTTGAAAAAAAAGAAAATAAAGATTTCAAATTCGTTTGACAGGATTACATAACAAAGAACCAGATTCTGGTTCATCTAATGTGATGCCTTTTGAGTATACGACATACTCATCAAATATAGAAAATGAAGTAAAAAGAATGTTACTTCCACAAATAGAAACAGATAACAAACGACATCAAGGTGCAATACCCAAACAAAGCCGTCCAAAACCTGCAATAGAAGCCATAGATGATAATATTATAACTACCGAACAAACCCGACATAAATTAAAACGAACATTAGAAGTTAAAAGAGATAGAAGAAGAGACGGAAGATTTGATAGATTTGAGCAAACTAGTGGTTCAAACAACGAGTTAAGTACTCTTAGTCTTGCATCTTCCTTATTAGCTACATTATTAACATCTGGTCGAGAATTACCAGGTCAATCTAGCACTGTATCTGATTTAAGATTAAGTCGTAATTCAGATAATCGAAATTCACGAAAAAGACGTGGTCCTTTAAAATGTTCGATTAGACCACATCGTGTACCCCGAGATAGAAATCGAGATGATAACGTCGTTCCACTTACTGCTTTATTTGGATTGATATCAAATGAAGAATGTCATTTAGTTTCTAATCATAATGATGCTGTAGAAGCTGTACCTTATTTTCGAGATGAAAATGGACGCTGGCTAGCTTATACCTTTGATGAAAAAGGATCTAATGTTGCTGCTGCTGCTGCGCAAGTTCCTTCTAATAATAACGATAAATTATTAAATACATTATTACGCCAACAACTTAATCAAAATTTACATTATGATGCCAATTGGGAGTTAATAGACTCCTTAAGTAATAGTTATAGTAGTTTATCTTTAAATTCTCCTGATTTAAGTGTTATAATAGACACACCACCTGTTTTGTCAAGTCCAGAAAGTAATCAAACTAAGGCACAAAATTCATTATCTTCAAATCCAGTGGAAACTTCAGAACGTGATCAATTTCATCAAAATAATGGAAATTCTATTCAATGTGAACTTGAAACGTTAGAACGAGATCAATTTCATCAAGATATATTATCACGTATAGAATCGATGACAGAGAGAAATCAAAGATTACGAAATTTATTGGGATATTTCAACTTAAATATTTATCCAGCAGATTCAAATCGTCGAGATAGACCTGCTTTAACATTACAAACGTGCGCAGTAGGGGATATAAATACAAGTTTATCTTGGAATCGATTTATTGGTGGTTTAGATGGATCCGAATCTAAAACTAAACAATTAAGACAAGACAAGCAATATTATTATAAATGGAAAATTGGTAAATTACCACATATCAAAGTACGATTCGATCGTTTATTTTTATTGGCCTTATTAGATCGAAATTTGACGATATTTGAGACTATTATTTCAACATTTTTAGCAATTGCTGTTGCAGGATTGGGTCTTGTATTGCTCCAACAAGGATTTTATCGAGATATATTTGCTTTCATGTTTTGTTTTGTAACTGCTGGATGTCAATATTCATTATTAAAATCTGTTCAGCCTGATGCTGCTTCTCCAACACATGGATTTAATCGTATTATAGTATTTTCTCGACCTGTATATTATATATTGTGTTCAGGATTCGTATTAATCTTTAATGAATCTTTAAAAAACTTTAAAACATCTGAATTTCGAATATATGGTTTACGAATTGCTGATTATGATGTTATATTACAAATTCGTAATATTTTATTAATTTTTCTTTTATGCTTTCCCATTATATTTTCATTAGGCTTACTTCCTCAAATTAATACTTTTCTAATGTATCTATGTGAACATATAGATATTCATTTATTTGGTGGAAATGCAAGTACAAGTTTAATCTCTTCAATATATTGTCTTTGTCGCAGTATTGTTACTGTTGTTATATTGTATGGATTTGCTTATGGAGCACTCACAGAACCTAAATCTTCACAACATATTTTATTCTCTATTTTTGCGGGTTTATTGGTTGCTATATCTTATCATCTAAGTAGATCATCATCAGATCCTACAGTAATATGGGACATTGTTAAAACAAATTTGTGGCCACCAGAAATTTATACTGAAGAAAAAGAAGCTAAAATCATCGAGAATACATCTCATAAAGATAATTTACCTACAACATATAAAGAAGCAAAAATTAGAACTTCTGGAAGAAAAAAACATGTAAAAATTAAAGTGGGTGAACAAATGTCGGATACAGAATTGGTTGATCCATTACCTGAAAAATTAAGGGCAACAGTGAATGCAAGATTAAAAAATGATTTAATAATATGTGCAGTAATAGGTACTTTATCTTTTGGAATCCATTGTTCAACTGTATTTTCAGCTTTACAACCAGAACTGAATCCAGTTTTATGGGGTATTGCAAGTTGCCTTGGATTTTTACTACATTACATTGTACCACAACTTCGAAAACAGTTACCATGGTTATGCTTATCAAGACCAGTATTACGTAGTCATGAACATGCACAATTTGAAGTTCGTGAACCTGTGAAAATTATGTGGTTTGAAAAGGCATATGTCTGCCTTTGCTTTTTAGAAAGAAATATTCTTTATCCAGTAGTATTTTTAGGAGCACTTACAGAATGTTCATCAAAAATTGTATCTAAATTTGGAGAAAGTATAGGAGCATTAATTATAGTTATATGTGGATTAAAATCTTTAAGATCAGCATATTCTGATCCATCAACACGTTACTTAGTCTTAATCTTTGCTGTTTTATTTTTCAAACTAGATTTTCGAAATCTCAGTGAGACTTTTTTAGTAGACTATTTTATCACAGGAATAGCTTTTGCAAAAATTTATGAATTACTTTTAAAAATACGATTTGTAGTTACGTATATCGCACCTTGGCAAATTACTTGGGGTAGTGCATTTCATGCATTTGCTCAACCTTTTTCTGTTCCACATTCTGCTATGTTGTTTTTGCAAGCGGGGATTTCTGCACTTTTAAGTACTCCTTTAAATCCCCTTTTGGGCAGTGCAATATTTATATCATCATATGTACGTCCAGTAAAATTTTGGGAACGAGATTATAAAACAAGAAGAGTAGACCATTCAAATACACGAATGTCTTCGCATTTAGATCGAAATCTAGGTGCAGATGATAATAATTTGAATTCAATTTTTTATGAACAATTAACAAGATCATTACAACACAGTCTTTATGGAGATCTTGCTCTTGGTCGCTGGGGAAATGTGGAACAAGGTGATTGCTTTTTACTAGCGTCTGATTATTTAAACTGTTTGGTACACATTGTTCAATTAGGAAATGGATTAGTAACCTTTCAATTGAGAGGTCTTGAATTTAGAGGAACATATTGTCAACAAAGAGAAGTACATATATTATTTTAGATATTAAAATTTCTAAATAAAATAATATGTTACATAATTTTAAAACACTTTATTTTTTAGGTAGAAGCAATCTCTGAAGGAATTGAAGATAATGACAATTGTTGTTGTTGTGAAATGGGACATTTTTCAAATGTATTAAGCGTAAATGCAGCTTTTAGTCAACGCTGGTTAGCTTGGGAAGTTGCAAGTGCTAAGTACGTTTTGGAAGGATACTCGATTTCAGATAATTCAGCAGTTTCTATGCTTCAAGTGTTTGAGTTTCGTAAAGTACTAGTTACTTACTATGTCAAAAGTATTGTTTTCTATGCTGTAAAATCACCAAAATTGAAATATTGGTTAGAGAATTCCGATATTTCTGATGCCCTAAAAATAACACTTGATAAAAACTTCGTTGACCTGGATCCTGTTTTTAATTTGAGTATTCACGAAGATTATGATATCCGAACGTGTGGCATTACAAGAAATAGTTTTTGCAATGTTTATTTGGATTGGATACAGTATTGTGTTACTAAACAAGATAAGGTAAATTTTCAAATATATGTAAATTATATTAATATTTATATAGCATTAATTTATTAATACCTGTTTTAGACATTAGATAAATCAAGAAATTCATCATTGGTATCTTTATGTCTTGCTTTAAGTCTCTTGGGAAGACGCGTTTTGGGAGCACTATCTCATAACACTGTTTCCAGTGTTGAATTTTTTTTATATGGTTTACATGCTCTTTTTAAAGGTATATCATTTCATTAATAAATTATTAATTTATTATTAAATTATTAATTATAATTATTAATAAATAACGAAAAAAATTTTTTTTTAAATTTAAAAATATTTGAAAAATGTATATTTACATATTTAGGAGATTTTCGTATAACATCAATTAGGGATGAATGGGTATTACATGATGTTGATTTATTACGAAGTGTCGTAGCAAAAGGAGTAAGAATGGCATTAAAATTACATCAAGATCATTTTATGAGTCCAGAGCAATATAGTGAACTGTCTGCTCTTTATGAAGCTATAGATAGTCATGATAAAAATCTTGTAATTAGTCATGAAGCAGATCCACTTTGGAGAAATGCTGTTTTAAATGGCGCACCAAGCCTTTTGGCACTTAGGTACTTTGATAGCCTATATCTAAATATTTCTAAAATTTAAATTAAAAAAATAATTATTATTACTTATTATTTTGATTTTTAGACATGTACTTGATGATGGCATTGATGAATATAAAGTTATAATGCTTAACAAGCGTTTTTTAAGTTTTCGAGTGATTAAAATGAATCGTGAATGTGTTCGTGGTTTATGGGCTGGACAACAACAAGAATTAGTTTATTTGAGAAATAGAAATCCTGAGCGAGGTTCTATACAAAATGCTAAACAAGCTCTTAGAAACATAATAAATAGTTCTTGCGATCAACCGATTGGATATCCGATTTATGTTTCACCATTAACAACTAGTTATGCAGAAACTAATGAACAATTATGTTCCATAATTGGTGGACCTTTAAGTCTTGGTGTAATTAAAAGTAATGTCTTAAAACTGTGGCAAAGGTACCCCTTAGTATTATATCATGTAATTATAAATTATAAATTATTAATAAAAATTGCAAATGGTAAAGTTTATCATCATTATGATTTTTACTTATAGAATCAGAAGAAGATGCGGTCAAGGTTGTTCATCTGGAGGGACAGGGTCTCAAGATGATGGAGGTTTTGGAAATGATGGAGTATATGCAATGACTACATATAATATTCATTTAGGTATTTATAATATCTCAATAATCATTATATTTATTTTTATCATTTTCATTATTTTACAATATAAAAATAAAATTTTTGATATAGGTTATGGACAATCAGCAGGTCATAACACATCAGGTTCGCAATCTATAGATTCTGGATGTCAAATTGGTGGATCAGCTGGACGAGGTTCTTTAGGAAGAACGAATACTGGATCCTTAGGTGGAAATAGAGGATCATTAGCTTCAGTTGGAAAACCAACAAGTTCGACGCTTGCTAGTTTAGCTGGTCTTCTTAGTAACAGCGATATTAAAACAGAAAGTAAAAGTGAAACAAGTTTCACGAGTAAACTTGAAAAGGACGAAGTTTTACAACGAGTACGAGTAAGTAAAAAATAAAATTTATTTTATAAGATATATATATATCTTTATAAGATATATATATATCTTATAAAAAATATATATCATTATATATATCTTTTTTATTAAAAATTTATTAAAAATTATTTTATTTTTTCATTATTAGATTATAGATCCTAATCAAGTATATGATGCTATTAATTTGGGTCGTCGCATAGATGTAATTTGGCCAGATGAAAGAATGAGGCAACAAGGTGGTAGATCTGGATGGCAGCATTGGGTACCTGAAAGAGGTATGGAAGGATGCGTTGTTCATTGTTGGTCCCCAAATCATCGTGATCCTAATCGACGATCTCATGTAGATAAAGTTATTTTACTTGTTAAAATTGATGATAAATATGTTCCAATAGCGGAACAAGGTGTAAGAGATCTGGGGGCAGAAGTATGATGAAATATTTTTAAATTTTCTGTAGTAATGTATATTAAGATGATTTTCGTACATTTCATTTTTTTGAATCACATATTGCAAATATTGATATCAATGCATTATAAAAATGAAAAATTCATTCCAGTTATAAAATGATAAATATAAAAATTTTTGATGGAAGATTATTCTTGAAATTGTAAATATTGAAAATCAACAGATTTTAATACTAGTTTCTTAATTCTAAAGATTAAGAGAGAGGGAAAAAAATGTGTGCGCGTGTGTATACATATATATACATATTGCTACAGTTATAAAATACTCTTCATTTTTCATATGATTATATGATTTTTTTTAATTATTAAAATTATTCACTTAATATTTCTTTTCTAACTCATTTCCATATTTTCATTGCAATGATTTTTTTTAATAGATGAAATTTTTTTAAAATATATATTTTTAGAAAAATGAATTTGAAAAATTATTAAAAAAAAAATGTATATTTTATCAATTATAATGAAAGAATTATATTATTTCTTTCACATTGAAGAAAAAATTAATGTCAGTCGCCAAGTTATTCAATGCAAAGTAAATTGTATCATGTTGTATTATACTATGTATCATATAATAATTAGATGATTTACTAGGAATGAAAATAGATGTTACTTGTTGTTAATAATAATTAATTTATTATTTCTATTAATATAAAAAAAATTCAAATTTTACTAATTTTTCATTATTTATATTCTAATGAAAATCTAAATCAAAATATAATGCATCAGTAATATAATGTAAAGTTAAAAAAAAAAAAATGATAATGATGAAGAATATATTGTTGCAATTTTTAATAATGTTATAATATATGTTTTTTTTTTAATTACAGTACTATTTATAAGAATTTTTAAAAATAAATTATAAGAATAAAAATTATTATTTTTTAAAAATTTCTATGTGCTTAAGTAACAGCAAGTAACATCAAAATAAATTTGTATATATCATTCGTGTTTTTCTACATTTTGTTATATTTTTTTTAAACTATTTGATATAGGTAAGTTGTAAATATGCATAACATTTCTGCAAGATTAAAGCGTCCAAATGTATTTACTGAATGTGTAATTTTGTGGGGCCATAAATTTGCCTCTACAGAACATATCGGTGCATTAATAGCAGTGTTAAATGTAATTCCATAACATTTTCTTTGTATATCTTTATTGTATAAAAGGATAATAATAGTGGTGTATTTAAACTATATAATGAATATAATAATTTATAATTTTCATTGGAAATAATAATTGATTAAATAATAAAAACAAATTAAATATCATAATAAAAATTATTACAAATGAATACACCATAATATTTATCCAAAATCGAAAAATAAATCTATTATCATTTCTTCTTTTAAAAAAAGAGATTCATTGAAAGTTTTTACCTAATTTTATACATTAAAACTTATATAATAATTAATTAATAACTAAAAAAGTTGTTTGCAAAAGTATAAAATACTCTTTTACTCAAAATAAAATAGGAAAAAAAAATATAACACAAAAAATTACAGATTTTGCAAACAACTAAAAATCACAATATTGCCTTATCATAGTGTTTCTTGAAAACACTTGACTGATAAAGAAATTTTAACTAGTCTTTTAATTGTTGGTACATATTTATATATCGCTTGCTGCCAAGGGACAAAAAAAAATCTCTCTTATCAGGGAATACATGAATTACATTTTTTTATTAAGTCTTTGGCCTACTATCTATAATCAATAGTAATTTCATACATAGAATTGCTTTAAAATCAAAAATAAATAAGAATAGAAGTCAGATTAAATAACTATTTGTCATCCTTATATCAATTATGCTTTATTTTAAGTTTGCATTCATTATTTGATAATAAACAATTGTTAACTTTATTGCATAATGTGCTTCAAACAAATTTTCTTGAATCAATAATTAATCTCATTAATTATATTTTAATAAGAGACATTTTAGCGATAGCAATTATGCAAGCAAAGTAAGTTCCTTGAAATATATTTTAATTTTAAACTAGAAATAGTTCAATAAGTAGAGTTAATATTATAGATTAAAAAAAACTGTTCATATTAATTAATATAAAATATTGTATGTAATATACACAATCAATTTAAAAATCATTTTATAATCATGTTATAAAATTATTGGTACCTATAATAAATTACTAAAAATTTGTAAAATAATTAAAAAAATATTATTATAAATAATAAATAAAAATGTTATCTTTTTTGAAATTATGACTTCATGTTCTTACCCTAACATTTATTACTTATAATAGAATTATAATATTAATCTCAATTGAAATTCTAAAGTTTCAAAATTGATTTCATTATCTGTTCTTAAAATTCATTTAATAATAGTTACATTATATAATACATAATATATAACATTATACATATATAATAGAATTTAATACAATTTATTTCATAAAATTTCTTCATCTAATTTTATGATTTGTATTTATATGTGATTATTAATATCTAAAAATACCATCTAAAAACATTTATGTGACATTATTATTCATAAAACAGAATTATATAATACAATATAAATTATAAAAATATGTTTAATTATTTATTATGATGATTTTATATAATACATATAATGAATATTAAACTTTTTTTTTATTATTTTCAGAATTTAAAGATGTATTAGTAAGTTTTTGTATTAAATTTTCTATAATATCTAAATCAGTTAAACCTACAAACTTATCCACAACCAATCCACTTGAAATTGCTATAATAGCTGGTACAGCTTTCACTTCAAAAATATGTACTAATTCTGGATTTGATTCTAAATTTACAATGGCAAGATTTAATTTATCCATTGGGCCTATTAATTCTATTAATTTAGGTGTGAGAATTTTACAAGGATCACACCATTCAGCATGAAAATTCACAATAACAGGTACAGAACTATTCATTACTTTACTAACAAATTCATTATTATTATTTATTTCAAATTGTTTATTTTTTTGATATGATGAAGAAATATATCTCACTAAAATTTTTGAAAGTTTAATAGTATTACACAACATTTTATAACTTTTTAAATTATTATGTGTTATAAATTGTTATTTAAATAAAAAAATAAATAATAAATATTAAATATAAATAAAATTAAAACATTTTTTTTTTAATATATATTTTACGTAATTAATAAAAAATATTTTTGTTTATCATATTTTTGCTATCATAAATTCTGAAAGTGTATAGAAATTAAAAAAAATTAATGAATTTTTACATTTATTTTATATTACTATAACAATTATGATAAAATAATACTTACGATAAATTTTTAGAAAACCCAATTAATAATTCGAATTGGTCTGATAGATTCTGTTATTACAAATTTAATGTATCCCATTAAACCAATTATAGATGATATTATTAATAAAATGAGTAATAAAATGCGCCAAATAAATAAATGATCATATATCTGTAATAAAATATATTTTTTACATCTAAAACTATGAGAATTAAATAATTATTTTATATATATATAAATATTAATATTAATATTAATAGAAATATATTAAAATTTTATAAAAATTAGTTACCTTTTTATTACTTATAATAGATTTTCCTGATGCTCTTGGCAATGTAATTAAAATAATTGTGCATATACTAACTATAAATATAGCAATAATACCAATTTTTTTTTCAATTCTTAAAGAAATAATAAATATCAATAGAGCTAAAGCCCAAAGAACTAAAATAAGGAATAATCCTATACCAACTCCAAATATCAAATTAGTCATACCACTAAAAACAAAAAATTTATAAATTTATATAGATATTATTATTATTATATATTACAATATTTACAATTTATTTTTATTTAACTTTATCAATTAATTAAAAAAATTTGAATGATAAAATTTAAAAAAAGCAGATTGCTAGATTTTAATAAAATAAAAAATATATAATTAATATAAAAAAAATATATATACAATTTTTATAATGATTAATAATGCAGTCTTGAAAAATATATATGTATATGTATTACGAATAATTAAATGTATTTTAAATAATATTTTTGCCTTTTTATTAATAAAGTTTATAAAAATAATTCATTCATAAAAATATGAAAAAAACATTTGTTACATATTATCTGTACAAAATAATTAAACATTATCAATAAATAAATATAATACACATGGAACAATTTGTACCTTTCAATTATAAATTGTTGCAAACAAAGTATAACATATACTAACTACTTATATATAAAATAGTAACTTACTAACAATATATATATATATATTAGATTTATTTTCACAAGATATTTCAAAGATAAATTTTTTGTTTTATAATAGATACATTTATAAAAATGATAAATTAAAATTACTAATAAGGAATTTTAACACTATATATTTTTTATAAATTATTTTTAAAAAATTTATTATAATTTTAGGGATTTTAAATAAAACATAGGGATATTTTTATTATAATATAAATAGATAGTTTCACCTGTGTAGTGAAGAAAGTAATAAATGTTTGAAATTAAACGTACCTTCGATAGAACGTTAAGAGTTTATCAAAAGAACATATTAATTTTAACTGCAATTATTTTCACAAACGTAAATAAATAATTATCTTTTTTTTATAAATCATGAAAGTATGGATTGAAATTTTATTGGAATGGGTAAATAATAATGATTAATAATTAAAAGTTTATAAGTAATTAATAGATAATTTTCAAATAAATTATTTTTAATTATATTATAATATAATTATTTAATTGGAATAAATAGATTGAATTTAATTGTATGGTAATGTAAAAATATTCTTAAGTATTTCTATTGTGAATGTAAAATGTTAATAAATTTTTATTTATAAATAAATTCATTATACGAACTTTAGTTTATTTTAACAAAATTAATATTTTCAGCTAAATTCTTTAGATGTATCAGAAACAATTATTAAAGATTTAAAAGATTTAAATAATGGAAAATTTTATAAAAAATTAATAGAATTATTGTAAGTAATTGTAATATTATTGTAATATTTTACATATTTTAAGTTTTCAATGAAATGTTATAAATTTATTATTACAATGTTATAAAACTTTTTTTAAAGAAGTAATCTATTCATATAATACATTAGAATATATTTATTTCATAAGTATTCATATATAAAATATTTAAGTAAAATATATTTTATTTTATAGTCAATGGAAAGGTATTAAAAATTGTTTAGATACAGAAAATATCATAATAAAATTTTTACAAGGTATGTTAATAGATTGCAAATATTATATATTTTGTATATATATATATATTTATAATAATATATATTATATATTTTTTATATTTTATAGATGAATATCCAAAATATAATTTTGATGATAAAAATTTGGATGAAATGGAACACATCTATATTGCATCATTATTTTTATTACATGTATCTCAAGAACCATTATTTTATCATCCAATGTGTATTAATTTGCAACATGAAACACAACTTAAAATTAAATCATTTCTTGAAATGATTATTCCATATGGAAAAAATATAAATAGAGAAATATTAAGAGAAATAATTACTGAAGTAGAAACTGATATACCAAAAACACCTATAACTCTAAGAAAAAAAACTCTTAAGGATTTTTTTAATTCTCCTGTAACATGGTCTGCTCAAACTCATAAATTATTGAATGAAAAAAATAAAGAATTGAGAATGTTGAAAACTGAATTAGAAGTAGAAAGATTTGAAAAAGCTGATTTACAGGAGGATTTACGAATTCAACAGAATAAAGTACAAAATCTACAAAAAAAATTAGAAGAAAAAACTGTGGAAATAAAAGCATTAAAAGAAGAAAAAATTAAACCAAATACACCACAATCTTGTAAAAAGAATAAAGATATAATAGATTATAAACAATATTATAAAAAAGAAATAGATCATTTAGAAGATCAATTAATACAAAAACAATGTGACATAGATAAACTTGAAGCAAATAATGATACTTTAACAAAAAAATTAACATGCATAGAAATGCAATGTATATATTTTAAAGAAAAAGTAGAAAATTATGAAAAATCTTTAGAAAATTTACAAATTCAAGGAGAAATTAAAGACAGAGAATTGATAAATTTAAGAATGACTAATGAAGAATTGCGCATTCATTTAAAAGAACTTAGTAAAACAGCATTTGAAGAACAAAGTTTTGAAATAGATGGAATAGTACCTCTACAGTCATCTTCAACATCTTTAAATACTAGTGAAGTTTTAAGTTCTGTAATTGATATTCAATTACAAGAAGCAAAAGAAGAATCTATTTCATTAAAGGCACAACTAGATGCAGTAAATGAAAAATTGGAATCCATAACTCAAGAATATGAAAATACAATACAATTTTTAAAAGAAGAGATGCAAATATTACAAAATAAAGAAACCAAATTAAATACTGTTATAAAAAAGTTGAATAATGAAATTGAGATTTTACAAAAAGAAAAAGAAACTTTAGTAAATCAAAATAAAAATTTAGAAATAGTATGTAATTCTCACAATGAATCATTGTCACATGCTGAAAAATTCAAAAATATATCAATCATGGAAATAAATACTTTAAAAGAAAAAATAAAAAATTTAGAAGAATCTTTAAACAATGAAAATATAAATAATATTAAATTACATACTGAACTTACACAACATAAATCACAAATACATGAAAATCTTGAATATATCCAAAATTTAAAAGAACAAAATAATTTATATAAAACTTCTATGGATTTATATAATGCAAATTTGAAAGAAATTATACTTCATAATTCAGAAACTAATTGCATGGAAAATAATTTAAATGATAAAACAATTACTGAACTTATAAAACATGTACAAATATTAATATGTAATTTTAATAAAAAATATACTTTGAAACAAATAGAAGTAGAAACATTAAATAATACAATAGCAGAAATTAAATTAAAGCTTGAAAATTCTCAATCACTAATATCTATATTAAAACAAAAAGATGAACAAAATATTATAGAAATATCAAAATTAAACGAAATTATCATAGATAATACAACAAAAATTAATGAATTTACTAGCATTATAGAAAAATATTCCAAAGAAATTTCATGTTTAAAAGATATTGAGTTGCAAAAACAAGTTTTAGAGAAAGATTTATATATATATAAAGAAAAAATAGATAAAAAAAATGCATTATTAAAAGCTTTTGTAATATGTATAAAATCTTTGAAAACAAATATCCAAACTCTTGAAACAGAATTTTATTCAATGAAAACAGATGTGTTAAATCAAATAAATGAATACCAAAAATACAATAAAGAAACAAATAAAAATATTTTAAATGCTTATAAAATATTATATACTAATTTTACTGAAGAACAACTTTGCAAATGTCAATTGAAAAATGAACTTACTGATAATAAAAAAATATTAGAAGATTATAAAAATGTTAATAATATATTAGAAAATGATTTAGTAAATCATAAGCAAATGATAAATCATTTGGAGACAGAATTAATATGTACTAAACAAAAATTAACACAATCTATACAAAATTTAGAAAAATTTGAAAAAACAAAAGAAGCATTTCAAAATCAATATAAAAATCTTAAATCTGAAAATGAAAAAAATTTATTTGATTTAAATAATATAAATGATAAATTTAGAAAATCTCAGCAAGAAGTATGTAATATATCAGATCAATTAAAATTGAAAGATAAGAGAATTCAGAATCTAATTGAAGAAATTACTTCTTTAAAATTAGAAAAAGAACATATAATACATTTACAGATGGGAGAAGAAACTAAGATGAAAAATTTTATAAAAGAACTGGAAACAAAATTACTAAAAAATCAATGTCATTTAGATCAATTAAATATAGAAGTGAAATTAAAACAAGAAACATTAGAATTTGTGCAAAATGAATTTGAAAATTTATCAAAAGAAACAATTGCATCTAAAATAAAATTAAAAGAAATAATTATGAATCTGCAGGAAGTAAGAAGCAATCAAGATGCAGTTTTAAAAACACAAGAGAAAACTTTAAAAGAAAAATGTTTACAATTAGAACAATTACAAAAAGAATTCAATGATTCAAAGGGAATAGTTTATAAACAACTTGAAAATAAAAAATTATTATGTCAAAGTCTTCAAGCTGCAAATTTTGAATTACAAACAGAATTTTATAAACAAACAAAAACGATAGAAGAATTGCAACAAATAATAAAAAAAGAAAGAGATGAGCTTAATAAAAGTAAGGAATATTGTAAAGTTGAAGATATAAAAAAATTAAAAATTATACAAGATTGTGAAAAATTACAACATTCCATAAATGATTTAAAATCAATAATTACAGAAGTAAATATAAAGAATGAAAATTTTTATGTTGATACTACATATAATATACAAAATATAAATAATGATGATAACATTGAAAATATTTTAAAAATTATAAAAACATCCATTAATGAAATACAGACATCACGTAAATTAATTTTATTTCTTTCAGACGAAAATACAAATTTAAATAAAACTTTAAAAAATCAAAAAGTAATTGTAGATAATTATGTTACAAAATGTGAAGAAATCAAATTGTTAAAAACTAAAGTTCAAGAATTAACTAATTTACAAGAAAAATATGAGCAATATGTAAATAATTTTATCGAGAATAAGAAATCATTAAAAGATTCTTTAAAAAATATTATAAAATCAAGAGAAGATCTGGATATATCTTTAAATGAATTAAAACAAAAATGGGATAATATATTAATAAAATCTAATAATG